ATCACAATACCAACAACAGTTTTTAAAATTGTTGTTTTAATGCCGCACTCAGCAATAGTCCAGTGGACACAGTAGCCATGTGCTGTCGGGTTCCCAAATCCTGGAATCATGGTTCTCACCTAGGGAAACCAAACCCTGCTATTGTGATTGCAGTACATTACCGCTTTGGCTTTCCTGTACTATGATCAGTCAGTTATGTATGATCAAAACAGACAGACATCCACTGGAAAATTCATCAAAATTTCACCTGTACAATCGGCAAAGTTTAGTCGAATATCAACAATTCGCAGTGTCAAATATCAAGAAAATCCAATTACTACTGGACGTCAGATTCTACAGGAAACTGACTGCATATACACCGTTATGCTTCAAAACTCTTCACATGACTTTGTCTATCTATCATACAATTCACACTGGATGATCAATGTATGGAGTATTGTACCTAGTCCCTGACCAGAATGCAGTATTCTATATGTCTGCGCAGGGTGATTTGCATATCATGTGTCAAGATTTCACTGCCTGTAAACAAAACCGACTATCGCTTATCGCTTTAGCTCGTTATCGGTCTTCAACAAGGGCCAGCATTACCATTTGGTGGTACTGCCCTTTTGGATTTTCTTCAGCCCGTGGTTATTTATATGTGCAACCAAACCAATTGTGGCATTTCTGCACATTTCAGGTCTAGCGCTGACTGTGTGAGGGAGACTATACTTACGTCCATTACAGAGGTTTCTATATCCGTACCTTGAGTACCAGGATTACCTAGAGTACCAGGATTACCTTGAGTAACAGGATTACCTAGAGTACCAGGATTACCTAGAGTACCAGGATTACCTAGAGTACCAGGATTACCTAGAGTACCAGGATTACCTTGAGTAACAGGATTACCTTGAGTACCAGGATTACCTAGAGTACCAGGATAACCTTGAGTACCAGGATTACCTAGAGTACCAGGATTACCTTGAATACCAGGATTACCTAGAGTACCAGGATTACCTTAAGTACCAGGATTACCTAGAGTAACAGGATTACCTTGAGTACCAGGATTACCTTGAGTACCAGGATTACCTAGAGTACCAGGATTACCTAGAGTACCAGGATTACCTTGAGTACCAGGATTACCTAGAGTACCAGGATTACCTAGAGTAACAGGATTACCTTGAGTAACAGGATTACCTAGAGTACCAGGATTACCTAGAGTACCAGGATTACCTTGAGTACCAGGATTACCTAGAGTACCAGGATTACCTTACCAGGATTACCTAGAGTACCAGGATTACCTTGAGTACCAGGATTACCTAGAGTACACCTCTTAGAGGAAACACCTCTTATGGTGGACAGTAAAATCAAATGTCTGCGCAGGAACCTATTTAAATGAGCTGGATTACAACAATCACCTTTACGTGAAGGCCTCACTTCCGGGGAGCACACCTCAACTTGGAAGTAACGTCAGGCCTATCATCAGAGACAGAAAAATCCTTCCATATCAATTATCTGGAATATGAGGCAGTATCCGAGCAATATCCCACTGGGCTCCACAGTTAAGAAACCAATTTCTGATGATCAGAAGAGACAATTCAACTGTGGCCTTCAACTTTATCTTCAAGGCACAACAAAGTCAAAAACCCTTCTAAAGTTGACCTTTCAACTTAACGAACTGGTAAACAGCCTAAATCTAACAATTAGATTAAAATGTCTTAGCAGATGCCCTACCCAGACCAGCCAAACCATCACCAACAGAATGAAAGCTTCACCCAGAAGCATTCCAGTGAGTGATGAAGGAAAAACGTTGCCCATTAATAGACCTGTTTGCAAACAGATTCAACAATCAGATAACAACTTTTGTGTGACCAGTGCCAGACCCACTAGCCTGGTCAGGTCGATGCTCTGGCAGTATCATGGGAGGGCCTAAACGCATATGTGTTTCCCCCATCAGCTTTGATACCACGGGTATTACAAAATATTCTACACACAAGCAATCTACAACTGGTTTTGGTAGCGCCTTGCCGGCGAGAACTTGGATGAACCAATTTCATCCAAGACCAGGATTTTCTTAGCTCCACATATGGAATTTATGTGAAGCAGCCTCATTAAACAAGGTTATTCCATCAGAGCAGCTAAGGCAGTCTCCTTAGCACTTCACAGGTCAACTGGGCTCTTTTGGATGATAAATGGAAGAAATTTGACCAGTTCGCAAGATCTAAGGGGTTTTCAGCAGCCAAAGCTACTTGTCTCTCAAGTAGCAGACTACCTGTGTCATTTAGGAAGCACAAGGACTCTTATAGACCTAACAAGGCAGTTATTTGGCTGCTATCAGTTCCGTTATGACTATGTCTAATGGAATTAAACTTATGAGGGGCGTTCAATAAGTTTTGCATATAAGACCAAGTCGCAGAATATCTTTTGCACTTTTATTTTTCAATATAATCTCCATTCACCTCAATACACTTTTTCCATTTGTCCTTCAAGCTTTTAATACCACTTTTATCTGCAGATTGGCCCTCTAACCACGCCTCTGTAACAGCCTTTATGTCCTCGTCATCCCGGAAGGGTCTTCCACGTAGGGCAGATTTCATTTGCCGGAACAGGAAATAGTCACTGGGGGCTAAGTCTGGGCTGTAGGGTGGGTCATTTAACTGTTTGAATCCACATTCACATATGGCGGCCTGTGCAATTCTCGACTTGTGAAAAGGAGCGTTGTCATGCAAAAGTAGAATACCACATGTTAACATCCCACAGCGTTTCTGGTGAATAAATTTTCGCAATTCTTTCATTACATTAGCATAATACTGTCCATTGGTTGTAGTTTTTGGTGGCATGAAATCAATCAGTAATATGCCTCTTGCATCCCAAAATATGGTGGCCATTACCTTGCCAGCCAATGGTTGAGTGCGAAACTTCCTCGGAGGCGGAGAATTGGGATGCATCCATTGCATGGATTCCAATTTAGTTTCTGGGACCCAGTGGTGGATCCATGTTTCATCTCCTATAACAAGACAAGAAAGAAATCTGGCTTCATCAGCAGTATAGAGATCCAGGAGGTCTTGACAACTTTCAGTTCTCTGATGGCGATCTTGAGCTCTGAGGTTTCTAGGTACCCACCTTGCAGATACCTTGGGCATACCAAGATGCTCATGAATAATAGTTCCAACAGTTCCAACAGTTCCAACTGATATTTGGAATTCCCTAGAAAGTTCAGATACTTTCACTCGTCAGTCAGACAAAATTCTTTTTTCTATAGCAGCAATGGTTTCCGGTTGTGTGGCATCTGAAGGCCTGCCTGACCTTGGGTCATCGTCTATGGACTCCCTACCCCTTTTAAACTGTAGAGACCAACGGCAAACTGTGGAATAGTCGGGAGCATCCTTACCCATCACTTTACACATGCGATCATGGATTTCTTTTGCTTTGCATCCCTCCTTTGTAAGGAACTTTATTACACTGCGTTGTTCATGTTTGAGAGAATCCATGATTGTGACCACCCTTAGGTGAATGAAGCCATCACATCTAACTTATTGTTGTGTCTGGAACTTGTTATGACCCGTGTCAACCTGATGTTATGACTAGTGTCACACCTGCCACAAGTGGACATTGTTTGTGTAAACAAACAAAACAGTTACCAGGCCAACCAGACAGACAATTATTTGTCCCAGGTCTTTCCTCCATCCTGGATTCAGAGGATTTATCACTATGTCCAGTCAGAGCCTTAGGCATGTACTTACAAAAGTCCAAACCTAGAAGAAGAAGTCTCCTGAACAACTATTTCATTCTGGATGAGAGCTGTCATTCTCAGAGCATACTGAGCAGCCGGTTCGGATCCCCCATCAGCCTCCAGCCCTTATGAAGTAAGAGCATCTACAATAGCACTTCATGGCAACTGCCATCAATACCATCAATCATGGAAGGCCACTTATTGGAATCAGATAGTCTTCGCCAATCAGTACCTCATAAAAGGTTCTGTACAGAACATGTAGCAGGTATTCATCAATACGGACCACTTGTCATTGCACAGCAACTCATGAAGCCTACCAGAAGATAATCAAGATTACACTCACCCACAAAATCACGTAGACTCGTGGAAGTCCGGTTGCTGTTCCTTAACCAATGACTGAGAGTCCATGTTCACCTGTTTTGCTATGTAAATCAGCACATGAGTGATAATGATTGCGTTTAAGGCAAGCAAGATCTTACTAATCTTCGCAAACCTCACAAAATCCACAAAATTAAAAAGATTTACTTCCATTATTTCTGCTCACAGTAGAGGAAGGTGGTACCCGAACAGAATGATTAAGAAGAAAACATCACAGAAATTCAACCAAAGTTCCCATGGGGTTGATAGAACAGATCAACGGTAATCACACATACAGGTGGATCCCACCACCTCAGTGAGATTCAAGCAATAAGTATGAGTCAGGTTAAGTTAAAATATGTATATTTTTTTTAGTAAAAATATTATTTATACTTATCCTGACTCATACGCATGAGCATCCACCAGGCCACTGATATGTTTTCAGACCATAAAGTAGGGTAAAAGAGAGAGTGACGAGTTATGATCTCATTCACGTGGGACACAGGGTGCGATGGGGTAAGATGTTTTCTCTGTTCTCCAGAAACACAGAACAGGACGTTTCCACTACCAATTACATTAAGTAATACGTTACCACTGTTATACCGAGGCTGTTGTCTCCCACAACTGCTGCTATAGCGAAATCTACCACAGAGATCTCAATTACCTCATGCAGCACGTGCGTAGCCACCTAGCTGCCATGTGACACCCTTCACTCTTGTCTCTTCGCTTGCTCTAGCAAGACGTACAATAAACTGCTCAAGCGTTCCTGTTTCTCCGACCATTCGGTGATATTTATTACTGTTTATTCTCTCTAATAAACTGTGCTTTTACGGGGCGTTTACTGTAACTACGCTTGGAAATATTTTTCCCGCCAAAAGGAAATATTTTTTTATATTTTTGTATATATCTGTATGTTTGACTACATTGGCAGGTCTGCTGGGCTGGCACCTGGTGACGACCCCGCCGTCAGGATGGAGGAAGTCCGAGGACGGGGAGGGGTGTGTCCAGCAGGGCCTGCAGCAGGTGGGCGGGGGCCTGGAGATCTCCATTAGGTTTGCCCACCAGGAAGACAGGGAGAAGGTGATCCATGCTGGGCAGAGTGTGGGGTGGTCCCCTGCTCTGGTGGGCATGGAGGAAGAGGAAGACTGGGGGACGGAGGGTAGGTGGAGGAATAATTGCATGAACTGACAGTACTCTGTTTGTAGATGGACTTTCCAATGTTACCATCTGACAGTACTCTACGTTTGTAGATGAGGGTTCCAGTGTTACCATCTGACAGTACTCTATGTTTGTAGATGAGGGTTCCAGTGTTACCATCTGACAGTGGTCTACGTTTGTAGATGAGGGTTCCAGTGTTACCATCTGACAGTACTCTATGTTTGTAGATGGACGTTCCAGTGTTACCATCTGACAGTACTCTATGTTTGTAGATGGACGTTCCAGTGTTACCATCTGACAGTACTCTATGTTTGTAGATGAGGGTTCCAGTTTACCATCTGACAGTACTCTGTTTGTAGATGGACGTTCCAGTGTTACCATCTGACAGTACTGTATGTTTGTAGATGAGCGTTCCAGTTTACCATCTGACAGTACTCTATGTTTGTAGATGAGGTTTCCAGTGTTACCATCTGACAGTACTCTGTTTGTAGATGGACGTTCCAGTGTTACCATCTGACAGTACTGTATGTTTGTAGATGAGCGTTCCAGTTTACCATCTGACAGTACTCTATGTTTATAGATGGACGTTCCAGTGTGACCATCTGACAGTACTCTATGTTTGTAGATGGATGTTCCAGTGTGACCATCTGACAGTACTCTATGTTTATAGATGGACGTTCCAGTGTTACCATCCGACAGTATTCTACGTTTGTAGATGGACGTTCCAGTATTACCATCTGACAGTACTCTATGTTTGTAGATGGACGTTCCAGTGTTACCATCTGACAGTACTCTATGTTTGTAGATGAGCGTTCCAGTTTACCATCTGACAGTACTCTATGTTTGTAGATGGACGTTCCAGTGTTACCATCTGACAGTACTCTATGTTTGTAGATGGACGTTCCAGTGTTACCATCTGACAGTACTCTATGTTTGTAGATGGACGTTCCAGTGTGACCATCTGACAGTACTCTATGTTTATAGATGGACGTTCCAGTGTTACCATCCGACAGTATTCTACGTTTGTAGATGGACGTTCCAGTATTACCATCTGACAGTACTCTATGTTTGTAGATGGACGTTCCAGTGTTACCATCTGACAGTACTCTATGTTTGTAGATGGACGTTCCAGTTTACCATCTGACAGTACTCTATGTTTGTAGATGGACGTTCCAGTGTTACCATCTGACAGTACTCTATGTTTGTAGATGGACGTTCCAGTGTTACCATCTGACAGTACTCTATGTTTGTAGATGGACGTTCCAGTGTTACCATCTGACAGTACTCTATGTTTGTAGATGAGCGTTCCAGTTTACCATCTGACAGGACTCTATGTTTATAGATGGACGTTCCAGTGTTACCATCTAACAGTACTCTATGTTTGTAGATGAGGGTTCCAGTGTGACCATCTGACAGTACTGTATGTTTGTAGATGAGCGTTCCAGTGTTACCATCTGACAGTATTCTACGTTTATAGATGGACGTTCCAGTGTTACCATCTAACAGTACTCTATGTTTGTAGATGGACGTTCCAGTGTTACCATCTGACAGTACTCTATGTTTGTAGATGAGCGTTCCAGTTTACCATCTGACAGTACTCTATGTTTATAGATGGACGTTCCAGTGTTACCATCTGACAGTACTCTATGTTTGTAGATGAGGGTTCCAGTGTTACCATCTGACAGTACTCTGTTTGTAGATGGACGTTCCAGTGTGACCATCTGACAGTACTGTATGTTTGTAGATGAGCGTTCCAGTGTTACCATCTGACAGTACTCTATGTTTATAGATGGACGTTCCAGTGTTACCATCTAACAGTACTCTATGTTTGTAGATGGACGTTCCAGTGTTACCATCTGACAGTACTCTATGTTTATAGATGGACGTTCCAGTGTTACCATCTAACAGTACTCTATGTTTGTAGATGGACGTTCCAGTGTTACCATCTAACAGTACTCTATGTTTGTAGATGGACGTTCCAGTGTGACCATCTGACAGTACTCTATGTTTGTAGATGGACGTTCCAGTGTTACCATCTAACAGTACTCTATGTTTGTAGATGGACGTTCCAGTGTGACCATCTGACAGTACTCTATGTTTGTAGATGGACGTTCCAGTGTGACCATCTGACAGTACTCTATGTTTATAGATGGACGTTCCAGTGTTACCATCTGACAGTACTCTATGTTTGTAGATGGACGTTCCAGTGTGACCATCTGACAGTACTCTATGTTTGTAGATGGACGTTCCAGTGTGACCATCTGACAGTACTCTATGTTTGTAGATGAGGTTTCCCCGGCTAGATGTTACCAGATGATGATGAGCGTGCAGGACGTTTGCTTCCCGGTACACAACGCTCTTCTCACTGGCCACACCCAACTTGAGCCATCCGCCAAGTGCTATGTCAGATACAAGTTCTATGATAAAGGTAACCTATTCACAGTGATCAACATTGATCTAATCAATTATAACAGTGTTTATGTAAATGTGTGTGTATGTGAAGTCCGTGACTACTATTACATTTCACTGTGCAGTTGCTGTATCCACCAAGCTATCGGTGTTGCAACAGAACGAGGATGGCTATGCCTCCGCTACCTTTCGTCATAAACACTGCTTTGTAGTGCCCAGGTCCAGTCCATTCCACTGGTAAGTACCTCATTATACCCTGTTGGTTATACCCTGTCTGTTATACCCTGTCTGTTATACTCTGTCTGTTATACCCTGCCTGTTATACCCTGTCTGTTATACTCTGTCTGTTATACCCTGCCTGTTATACCCTACCTGTTATACCCTGTCTGTTATACTCTGTCTGTTATACTCTGCCTGTTATACTCTGTCTGTTATACCCTGTCTGTTATGCTCTGTCTGTTATACTCTGTCTGTTATACCCTGCCTGTTATACCCTGCCTGTTATACCCTGTCTGTTATACCCTGCCTGTTATACCCTGTCTGTTATACCCTGCCTGTTATACCCTGCCTGTTATACCCTGTTGGTTATACTCTGTCTGTTATACCCTGTCTGTTATACTCTGTCTGTTATACCCTGTCTGCTATACCCTGTTGGTTATACTCTGTCTGTTATACCCTGCCTGTTATACCCTGCCTGTTATACCCTACCTGTTATACCCTGTCTGTTATACCCTGTTGGTTATACCCTGTCTGTTATACTCTGTCTGTTATACCCTGCCTGTTATACCCTGTTGGTTATACCCTGTCTGTTATACTCTGTCTGTTATACTCTGTCTGTTATACCCTGTCTGTTATACCCTGTTGGTAATACTCTGTATGTTATACCCTACCTGTTATACTCTGTCTGTTATACCCTGTTGGTTATACTCTGTCTGTTATACCCTGTCTGTTATACCCTGTTGGTTATACCCTGCCTGTTATACTCTGTCTGTTATACCCTGCCTGTTATACCCTACCTGTTATACCCTGTCTGTTATACCCTGTTGGTTATACTCTGTCTGTTATACCCTGTCTGTTATACCCTGTTGGTTATACCCTGTCTCTTATACTCTGTCTGTTATACCCTGTCTGCTATACTCTGTTATACCCTGCCTGTTATATACTCTGTCTGTTATACCCTACCTGTTATGCCCTACCTGTTATGCCCTGCCTGTTATACCCTGTCTGTTATACTCTGTTATACCCTGTTGGTTATACCCTGCCTGTTATACCCTGTCTGTTATACCCTGTTGGTTATACTCTGTCTGTTATACCCTGTTATAACCTGTTGGTTATACTCTGTTATACCCTGCCTGTTATACCCTGCCTGTTATACCGTCTGTTATACCCTGTCTGTTATACCCTGCCTGTTATACCCTGTCTGTTATACCCTGCCTGTTATACCCTGTCTGTTATACCCTGCCTGTTATACCCTGTCTGTTATACTTTGTCTGTTATACCCTGCCTGTTATACCCTGTCTGTTATACCCTGTCTGTTATACTCTGCCTGTTATACCCTGCCTGTTATACCCTGCCTGTTATACCCTGTCTGTTATACTCTGCCTGTTATACCCTGTCTGTTATACCCTGCCTGTTATACCCTGTCTGTTATACCCTGCCTGTTATACTCTGTCTGTTATACTCTGTCTGTTATACCCTGTTGGTTATACTCTGTCTGTTATACCCTGTTGGTTATACTCTGTTATACCCTGCCTGTTTTACCCTGCCTGTTATACCCTGTCTGTTATACTCTGCCTGTTATACCCTGTCTGTTATACCCTGCCTGTTATACCCTGTCTGTTATACCCTGCCTGTTATACCCTGTCTGTTATACCCTGTCTGTTATACTTTGTCTGTTATACTCTGTCTGTTATACCCTGCCTGTTATACCCTGTCTGTTATACCCTGTTGGTTATACTCTGTCTGTTATACCCTGTTGGTTATACTCTGTTATACCCTGCCTGTTTTACCCTGCCTGTTATACCCTGTCTGTTATACTCTGCCTGTTATACCCTGCCTGTTATACCCTGCCTGTTATACCCTGTCTGTTATACTCTGCCTGTTATACCCTGTCTGTTATACCCTGCCTGTTATACCCTGTCTGTTATACCCTGCCTGTTATACTCTGTCTGTTATACTCTGTCTGTTATACCCTGTCTGTTATACCCTGTCTGTTATACTCTGTCTGTTATACCCTGGTTATACCCTGCCTGTTATACTCTGTTATACCCTGCCTGTTAAACCCTACCTGTTCTGCCTGCAGGTATTTACGGGAGGAGAGGCTGGAGGTGCAGGTGTGGGTGAGCTACGGGTCCAGCAGAGACAGACAGAGTCGTCCCCATCACCGGGACAAACTAGTGGGATCAGCCTACATAGAGCTGGGCAGCCTTGCAGACACTTCCAGGAAACAACACCGCCTCAGGTAGGCTGCATTTATACATTATCAACCTGATATTGCCTTTGAATCTCAGGTTATGTGGCCATGGAAATATTGTTTATATCAATTTTACTATTAAACCCCTTTGAGTAATGTATTATGTCTATTGCCCAAAATTTGAATCGTGAAAATTATTTTTAAAATAGGATCTTAAGATGGTTGATTGTATTCTACTGACTCCTGTTGTCTGAATGTTGCAGTGGTGTATATGCAGTGTTGAAGCCTGGAGCTGCCAGCCTTGGAGGTGCCTGTGTCCACACTCAACTGACCAGCAAACTCTTGTCCAGGGGCATCACAGAGGTAGGCAGTGGCCAGGAGTTTGGGCCTGTGATGGGAACAGGCTTGATGCATGAGAATATTACGACCCATAATCGCTCCTAATGGTGCTGGAAAAGATTGTTTGTTTTTGTAAAGGTCAGGGATTTTGATCAAATGTCCAGTATGTTGATAAGCAATGCTGAGTGTCCACTGACGCGGTGATTAGATGTAAGACTTCATGGAAATTACTTTGAAGATTTATGCAGTTGCACTTGTGACTATCTAATGGGTAGGACCTGTACTTGGACTGTAGTAACAGTGATCTATCTCTCTTGTCCTCCTCTCCAGGCCTTGCAGGACGATGAGGACATGGTGGAGAATGGGCTGTCAGAGGATGACTGTGACACGGAGGACAGCTTCCATCACCTCACCACAGGAAGTTCTCATAAGGTGAAGGACAAGTTCCTCTACTCCCCTGACAACAGCTCTCCAAGGTTTGCCGTGCACGTCTTCATCGAGAGAGCTATGCATCTGCCCCGTGTGACTGAGAAAAACAAGTAGGTGGCGATGAGTTTCTCAGCTTTCTTATCATGAGTTTTTATACAATCCTTGGTCTAGTGGATAGATTGTCTACCCGGAGAACGGAAGGTTGGTGGTTTGATCCTGTCAGATGGCAAAAGACTTTAAAAGATGGTTCTTGTTCTTACCCTGCCTGGTGCTCAGAATTAAGGAGCTGAAACAAGGACCTATCAGAATACTGTGTCTGAGTGGGGTATCCATGTTAAACCATAGAATGGTATCTCAGTCACTATATATGCTAGGATGTTGAGTGCAACCTAGTTTCAAATAAGGGTTCATTCCCGTGGTACAACTAATATTACATGATCTTGTTAGACGTTAGTGATAACATAGACACAAATTATGGATGTTAGTGATGTTATGAGATGTTATCATGTTATAAGGTGTTGTCATGTTATAAGGTGTTGTCATATAATAAAGTGTTGTCATGTTATGAGGTGTTGTCATGTTATAAGGTGTTGTCATGTTATAAGGTGTTGTAATGTTACAAGGTGTTGTCATGCTTTAAGGTGTTGACATGTATTGAGGTGTTGTCATGTTATAAGGTGTTGTCATGTAATTAACATACAATAGTGGTATAAAGGGGGGTATAAAAGTTGGTATAATTTTACTGACTGACATTCTCATCATGAGTTTGAAACGAAAACGCCATGCTTACGATGCTGAATTCAAACTGCGAGTCTTCGCTCTAGCTGATATATTTTCTCACGGGTTCATAATTCTATATACACTGATTCTCAAAATGGCGCTTCGTTGTTGATGGCAACATATAACGATCATTATGAGAATAAAAAAAAAACAAGAGAAACAGCTTCCCACATTATGAAAGTGGATGACTGGTTTGTTAAATCTTTATTAGAAATAATAATGACTTTTTCAACATAATTACAACGTTTTTCATCTTATATTTTTGAATATCTGCGAGAATCAGCACATGTCTTGCAGTCCAACTAAGCAGTGTTTTTTGCCTTTCACTTCCTGGTTCGGCTTATCTGCGGGTCATATCATTTTCTTTCGTATTTCAATGGTCAAGTTGACACCTCGGCTTATCTACGGGGTCGGCTTATCCGCGGTCATATACGGTATGGTGTTGTCATGTTATATGGTGTTATCATGTTATAAGATGTTATCATTGCATGTTCAGGTGTGGAGACAGTGAGCCCAGCACCTATGTGTCATATCAGACTGCGGAGAAGTCAGCCCCATCCTGCACGGCCATCTTTCCCAAGTCCTCCAACCCAGTCTGGGAGCACGAGGATCACACCCATCTCTCCACCGAGCTGCTGTACCAGGAAAGCAAGGTACTATCTTCATATGTTACGAAACTTGAATTATTCACAACTAGTACATGATGAAAACCTATTACCGTATTCGACGTAATAAGCGCCCCGGGCGCTCTCAAAATTAGAAAGAGGGGGCTCTTATTAGAATATTATTTTGGTGAAAAAAAAGTTATGTACGACAGATATATTTTACCAGAATTTAATTGCCCATTATTAAGGGTGCATATAACACACGAGTGTGCATATACACGAATAAATCAGTCTTGTGTACATTGATCAATCGGAAGGGGTGCCAGGGTTTCAGATAGCCCTGGGTCACCGGTCATAGACCGATAAACTTTCTCTTTGACCGATGGTTTGTTTAAGTTGTCGGACTTTTGACCGATAGAAATGCTAAGCAAGGCATCACGCATGTCATAATAGTAAAATAGTAAGGATTATTCCACTTAGGGTATCAATTTGGAGCCATCGATTTTAATGCTCTCATAAAGTATAGTGCCAATCGAGACTCAGTTGTCCTGGGGGATGGGGGGTGAAATTGATGGCAGTATTGCTCCCAGATCCGGCAGGTAGCCGGGTGTGCGGAAGCTATGCCCGATTTTTTAAAAGTACTGATTTAACTTTGAAATTTTACTGCATCCGGCATCTTTGCTTAAGTGACTTATTGACTTTTGCCACTGACTTATTACATTTCTTGGGTCCAAGTCATTGACCTGTATACATCTTTTTGTGTCAAAATCACTGGGGTGCTAATTGGGATTAATCACTAGCCAATATATCAGCAAATATCGCCGTGGGCGCTTATTAGAGCGGGGCGCTTATTACGTCGAATACGGTACTTGTTTTCAGATTTATCTGTAGGGTCAGCCGAACGTACTGTATTTAAAAACCAGCTGAAATGTCTTTGAATGTGTTCTTTCTTCTCTGGAACCTTTTATCTTTTCTAGCACCTAGTGTAAACCTGCTCTTATAGCGAAGTCTACCACAGAGATCTGAATTACCTCATGCAGCACGTGCGTAGCCACCTCAGCTGCCATGTGACACCCTTCACTCTTGTCTCTTCGCTTGCTATTTGGTGATATTTATTACTGTTTATTGACTCATATAAACTGTGCATTTCGGGGCAATTTTTTCCCCGCCCTTTTTTCTCTATACTTGTGTCTCGTATGCATGTTGCGTCTTACGATCCCCTGTTATAGTATGTCTTGGGGGTTTACATCAGCTATTTCTCTATATGCTATATGTGTATGTTCTATATTCGCAGTGCTCGTTTATTTTCTTGTGAAAATGTTCGTTTGTGAATATTTGTGGTGCGTGTGTTGTAACCATGTTTTACTCTTTGTTCATACTAAACAATGTCAGACATGTAAGTCTCGCCGTCCTCCACCTACTCTATCCCCGCTACCAGGAGTTGCAGGGTGTGCCGTAAATTCCTTTCTTCTCGGTATCACCACGATTGTTGCCCGCGGTGCAGGGTTCCTTGCAGGGACACCCGGTGCGCCCTGTGCAAGGGTTTGGGGCGTTCGAGGTTACAGGCTGTATGTGAAGTCTGTTTCCACCCCTGTGGTGGCCGGCTCGTCCGGTCGGGGTCCCCTTGCGGGTACCACCTTCACGGCTGCGGCGGATCCCTTGGCGGCCCTTGGGCTGTCCGGGGATTCCGTCACAGCGTTACTTTCTAAACTTGTGGACTCCAAGCTGGCGGCCTTATCTCAGGATAGGCCACTGGCTGTTCCGTCCCTGGCCTCTTCGGTGGCCGCGGGGTCCACGGGTACGGCGGCGGCTCCCGTGGTCACCGGTCCTTCCCCCGAACCGTTGCTCCCGCTATCGGTTAAGGACCGCGTGTCTATGGTTTATGACCTCTTTGAGGACATGCCTAAGCCCCTGCCGGTACCGTGGGGAATCCACGGCTCCGTGGGTTCCGCCGAGGTATTCGAGGAATCTTCTGACAAGGCTTTCCCCGCATCAACCTTGTTGCGCGGGATCAAGCCTTCCTTGGAGAAAGCCTTTGCGGCGGCCTCCGGTCAGGATCTCCCGTTGCCTTCCCCGTCTTGGAGAAAGGGTTCATTCCCGGTTCATGACCTTGCCTTTCCCGAGGCTGGTCCTACCTTGCAGCAGCTGGACAACCTAGCTTGGCACTCCATGCTTGCCATGTCTCACAGAGACACGTACGTGGCTGCAGCGGCCAGTTTGGTCGAAGGTTCTCCGACAGACCGAGACCAGCGCATTTACAACTGCTTGCTCGGTTTAAATGCTTCCCTTGAGTACGTTGCCGGGACTTTGGCCATTATTTCCAGCACGTGCCATGCGTATCTTTCCGCCTCGGGGTTGGACGCTGCCAACCAGGAAGTGCTCCTTTTGCAGCCTTGGTCTGCGTGGACCCTTTTAATAACAAGATCCCTGGGGTTCTGAAAGAACAACAGGCTTCTTCTTTTGCCGAGGCCTCTCGGCACACACTCGATCTTGTTGGGTCCCTGCATAGACGCCTGGGTGGTGCCCCTAAGCGGAGTGCCCCCCAGGATGCTGCGGCCGGTAAGTCTAAGGGGTCGGGTCCTTCTTCTTCCGTGAAGAAGCCCCGCCCTGAGGGCTCCGCTAAGGGCAGTCAGCAGCCCTTTCGCGGGAAGAAGGGGAACTGGGGGAAGTCCAAGCCGTCTAGGGACGGCAAGGGCTCCTCCAGGTGACTCTCACTGGAGGGGTTCGTATGCCGACAGCGCCAACATCGGTTGGCCAGTAGGCGAACCCGAGTCACTCGGCCCTGGACAGTTGCGCCTGCCGCAGCCTGTCAGGCCCCCCTTTCCTTCCCTGTGGGAGCCAGACTCCAGACTTACTGGGAGAATTGGGAACAAGTGTTCGATAACCCATACGGCTATCGGCTAGATCTCAAAGCGGATCCGCCGCTCACCGTTGCCTGGTTGGAAGGTTTCTATTCGGAAACCGATTTTCCCATCCTAGCTGACAATCGGCAGATTGGTGGAGAAGAGGGCGGTACGGGAGATAGCCCTACCAGAAATAACACGGGGTTTTACTCCAGGATATTTCTCGTTCCCAAGAAGGACAGTGCCGAACTCAGAAGGATTCACAATCTGAAGTCATTCAACGAGTTTTACCTGCACAAGCCGCCCAAGTTCAGAATGTTGACCTTGGCGGACCTGAAAGCTCCGATCATGTCCGCAGACTGGCTCGCTTTGATCGACCTGAAGGATGCTTATCTGCATGTTCCGATCCATCCGGACCATCACAAGTATCTCAGGTTTGTCTTTCAAGGCAGGCATATTGAGTGGGTAGCACTCCCATTCGGCCTATGGTCCGCTCCCTGGCTGTTCACCCGGTTAACCACCCCCATAGTGGGGTTCCTCCACAAGAGGGGTGTCAGGTACTTTGGGTATTTAATTGTCTGTCGTGTATTCCAACCTTGTAATGCATGCTTACAAATACTGGAATTAGGTCATGCGCCTGATGCATACTTGAAGTAGGCTTGCTGTGGGATATATGGTCCGAATGAAATTAATTTCCCTCTTTCCGACTGTTTAACCTGATCTAAGATTTAGCTCACACGGATACCGTGTTCTCATCCGCTGCGGCGATGAAATACCTATCCAGTGAGGCCATTTGGAGTCACCAATCGTTTGGCAAAGATGATTGAGCCATACGGTATGCGCTTGACAGTGCTTTGGTATTCCTATAGGGTAACGCCAAGCTGGGAGCATGCACATTGAGTGCTTCCGCCTTGTTGTTTACTTCCGCTGGTCGGAAGGAACACGAGCAGTCAGGTTCGGGTTGTAGGTGCTCCCCACCGCCTACTGTGGTAATCAGCCTTGGTATAACAAGTGGTAACGTATTACTTAATGTAATTTGTCGAATTTTCTTATTCGGAATATTCTATAGTAATACGTTACCACTTGGGCTGCTGCCCCCCCGACCGTCCCCTGAGCACTTGCTCTCGCTAGAGACAAGAGTGAAGGGTGTCACATGGCAGCTGAGGTGGCTACGCACGTGCTGCATGAGGTAATTCAGATCTCTGTGGTAGATTTCGCTATAAGAGGATTTGTGGGAGACAACAGCCTTGGTATAACAAGTGGTAACGTATTACTATAGAATATTCTGAATAGAAAAATTCAACAAGTATTCTGTCTCCTCTAGAACCTAGTGTAAACCCAATTATTCTGTCTCCTCTAGAACCTAATGTAAACCCAAGTATTCTGTCTTCTCTTGAACCTAGTGTAGACCCAAATATTCTATCTCCTCTAGAACCTAATATAAACCCAAGTATTCTGTCTTCTCTTGATCCTAGTGTAAACCCCAGTATTCTGTCTCCTCTAGAACCTAGTGTAGACCCAAATAGTCTATCTCCTCTAGAACCTAATATAAACCCAAATATTCTGTCTCCTCTAGAACCTAATGTAAACCCCAGTATTTTGTCTCCTCTAGAACCTAGTGTAAATCCAAGTATTCTGTCTCCTCTAGAACCTTGTGTAAACCCAAATATTCTGTCTCCTCTAGAACCTAATGTAAACCCCAGTATTCTGTCTCCTCTAGAACCTAGTGTAAACCCAATTATTCTGTCTCCTCTAGAACCTAATGTAAACCCAAGTATTCTGTCTTCTCTTGAACCTAGTGTAGACCCAAATATTCTATCTCCTCTAGAACCTAATATAAACCCAAATATTCTGTCTCCTCTAGAACCTAATGTAAACCCCAGTATTTTGTCTCCTCTAGAACCTAGTGTAAACCGAAGTATTCTGTCTCCTCTAGAACCTAATGTAAACCCCAGTATTCTGTCTCCTCTAGAACCTAGTGTAAACCCCAGTATTCTGTCTCCTCTAGAACCTAGTGTAAACCCAAGTATTCTGTCTCCTCTAGAACCTAGTGTTAACCCAAGTATTCTGTCTCCTCTAGAACCTAGTGTAAACCCAAGTTGTCTGTCTCCTCTAGAACCTAGTGTAAACCCAAGTATTCACTCTCTTCTAGAACCTAGTGTTAACCCAAGTATTCTGTCTCCTCTAGAACCTAGTGTAAACCCCAGTACTCTGTCTCCTCTAGAACCTAGTGTAAACCCAAGTATTCTGTCTCTTCTAGAACCCAGTGTTAACCCCAGTACTCTGTCTCCTCTAGAACCTAGTGTAAACCAAAATATTCTGTCTCCTCTAGAACCTAGTGTTAACCCAAGTATTCTGTCTCCTCTAGAACCTAGTGTTAACCCAAGTATTCTGTCTCCTCTAGAACCTAGTGTAGACCCCAGTATTATGTCTCCTCTAGAACCTAGTGTAAACCCAAGTATTCTGTCTCCTCTAGAACCTAGTGTAAACCCAAGTATTCTGTCTTTTCACTTGAACCTAGTGTAAACCCAAATATTCTGTCTCCTCTAGAACCTAGTGTAAACCCAAGTATTCTGTCTTCTCTTGAACCTAGTGTAAACCCAAGTATTTTGTCTTCTCTTGAACCTAGTGTAGACCCCAGTATTATGTCTCCTCTAGAACCTAGTGTAAACCCAAGTATTCTGTCTCCTCTAGAACCTAGTGTAAACCCAAGTATTCTGTCTTTTCACTTGAACCTAGTGTAAACCCAAATATTCTGTCTCCTCTAGAACCTAGTGTAAACCCAAGTATTCTGTCTTCTCTTGAACCTAGTGTAAACCCAAGTATTTTGTCTTCTCTTGAACCTAGTGTAAACCCAAATATTCTGTCTCCTCTAGAACCTAGTGTTAACCCAAATATTCTGTCTCCTCTAGAACCTAGTGTAAACCCCAGTATTCTGTCTCCTCTAGAACCTAGTGTAAACCCAAGTATTCTGTCTCCTCTAGAACCTAGTGTAAACCCAAGTATTCTGTCTCCTCTAGAACCTAGTGTTAACCCAAGTATTCTGTCTCCTCTAGAACCTAGTGTTAACCCAAGTATTCTGTCTCCTCTAGAACCTAGTGTAAACCCCAGTATTCTGTCTCCTCTAGAACCTAGTGTAAACCCAAGTATTCTGTCTCCTCTAGAACCTAGTGTAAACCCAAGTATTCTGTCTTTTCGCTTGAACCTAGTGTAAACCCAAATATTCTGTCTCCTCTAGAACCTAGTGTAAACCCAAGTATTCTGTCTTCTCTTGAACCTAGTGTAAACCCAAGTATTCTGTCTTCTCTTGAACCTAGTGTAAACCCAAATATTCTGTCTCCTCTAGAACCTAGTGTTAACCCAAATATTCTGTCTCCTCTAGAACCTAGTGTTGACCCAAGTGTTATGTCTCCTCTAGAACCTCGTACTGAAGGTGTGGCACAAACCAGCAGAGGCAGCCAAGCAGCCGGACAAGTCGAGTGACCGCGTGCTTGGGTTTGTGTCAGTGGACCTGGCACCGCTGTCATCAGGGCTGCTGCAGATCTGTGGCTGGTACAACATACTGGACTTCACCGGGCAGTGCAAAGGGCAAATCAAGGTCAGACAGTAATCTAGGTCACAGTTAGATACAAGACAATCCTTCAGACAATCCATAAAACATTTGTCAACCTAGTTTATTTGTCCTCCCTATCTGGTGTGCAGACTTTGAAATTCCCTTTTGTTTCATGATGCCCCATGTTTGATTGTGTTACAGACTACCCAGGTCCAAATTGCAGTCTTTTGTCAATAACAGCTGTGTGTACTAGCCATTGTCTTTCGGAGACTTACCAGTAAAATCAGCGTATCGACTGTTCCTGAGTTAACTAGATTAGAAATAAATTTTACTACGCTTTGGCTTTGAACTAATGGCGAAAGTCACAGACTTTCATTTACTGGAGAAGTTCTTGCTGGTTATAACATATATGGTTTCTCCAGTGACATGCGTCTGTTCAACCAGCAGGTTTTGTACGTCTTGTGTTCCTCTGTTCATCTCTTGTGAAGGGTGATCATGTTCCTCTGTACATCTCATGTGAAGAGTGATCATGTTCCTCTGTACATCTCATGTGAAGAGTGATCGTGTTCCTCTGTACATCTCATGTGAAGAGTGATCGTGTTCCTCTGTACATCTCATGTGAAGAGTGATCGTGTTCCTCTGTGCATCTCATGTGAAGAGTGATCGTGTTCCTCTGTACATCTCATGTGAAGAGTGATCGTGTTCCTCTGTACGTCTCATGTGAAGAGTGATCGTGTTCCTCTGTACATCTCATGTGAAGTGTGATCGTGTTCCTCTGTACATCTCATGTGAAGAGTGATCGTGTTCCTCTGTACGTCTCATGTGAAGAGTGATCGTGTTCCTCTGTACATCTCATGTGAAGTGTGATCGTGTTCCTCTGTACATCTCATGTGAAGAGTGATCGTGTTCCTCTGTGCATCTCATGTGAAGAGTGATCGTGTTCCTCTGTACATCTCATGTGAAGAGTGATCGTGTTCCTCTGTACATCTCATGTGAAGAGTGATCGTGTTCCACTGTGCATCTCATGTGAAGAGTGATCATGTTCCTCTGTGCATCTCATGTGAAGAGTGATCTTGTTCCTCTGTGCATCTCATGTGAAGAGTGATCATGTTCCTCTGTGCATCTCATGTGAAGAGTGATTGTGTTCCACTGTGCATCTCATGTGAAGAGTGATCATGTTCCTCTGTGCATCTCATGTGAAGGGTGATCATGTTTCTCTACATCTCATGTGAAGAGTGATCGTGTTCCTCTGTACATATCATGTGAAGAGTGATCGTGTTCCTCTGTGCATCTCATGTGAAGAGTGATCATGTTCCTCTGTACATCTCATGTGAAGAGTGATTGTGTTCCACTGTGCATCTCATGTGAAGAGTGATCGTGTTCCTCTGTGCATCTCATGTGAAGAGTAATCGTGTTCCTCTGTGCATCTCATGTGAAGAGTGATCGTGTTCCTCTGTACGTCTCATATGAAGAGTGATCGTGTTCCTCTGTACATCTCATGTGAAGAGTGATTGTGTTCCTCTGTACGTCTCATGTGAAGTGTGATCGTGTTCCTCTGTACATCTCATGTGAAGAGTGATCATGTTCCTCTGTACATCTCATGTGAAGAGTGATCGTGTTCCTCTGTAAATCTCATGTGAAGTGTGATCATGTTCCTCTGTACATCTCATGTGAAGAGTGATCATGTTCCTCCGTACATCTCATGTGAAGAGTGATCGTGTTCCTCTGTACATCTCATGTGAAGAGTGATCGTGTTCCTCTGTGCATATCATGTGAAGTGTGATCGTGTTCCTCTGTACGTCTCATGTGAAGAGTGATCGTGTTCCTCTGTACATCTCATGTGAAGTGTGATCGTGTTCCTCTGTACGTCTCATGTGAAGAGTGATCGTGTTCCTCTGTGCATCTCATGTGAAGAGTAATTGTGTTCCTCTGTACGTCTCATGTGAAGTGTGATCGTGTTCCACTGTACGTCTCATCTGAAGAGTGATCGTGTTCCTCTGTACATCTCATGTGAAGAGTGATCATGTTCCTCTGTACATCTCATGTGAAGAGTGATCGTGTTCCTCTGTGCATCTCATGTGAAGAGTGATCGTGTTCCTCTGTACGTCTCATGTGAAGAGTGATCGTGTTCCTCTGTACATCTCATGTGAAGAGTGATCGTGTTCCACTGTGCATCTCATGTGAAGAGTGATCGTGTTCCTCTGTGCATCTCATGTGAAGAGTGATCGTGTTCCTCTGTGCATCTCATGTGAAGAGTGATCATGTTCCTCTGTGCATCTCATGTGAAGAGTGATTGTGTTCCACTGTGCATCTCATGTGAAGAGTGATCATGTTCCTCTGTGCATCTCATGTGAAGGGTGATCATGTTTCTCTACATCTCATGTGAAGAGTGATCGTGTTCCTCTGTACATATCATGTGAAGAGTGATCGTGTTCCTCTGTGCATCTCATGTGAAGAGTGATCATGTTCCTCTGTACATCTCATGTGAAGAGTGATTGTGTTCCACTGTGCATCTCATGTGAAGAGTGATCGTGTTCCTCTGTGCATCTCATGTGAAGAGTGATCGTGTTCCTCTGTGCATCTCATGTGAAGAGTGATCGTGTTCCTCTGTACGTCTCATATGAAGAGTGATCGTGTTCCTCTGTACATCTCATGTGAAGAGTGATTGTGTTCCTCTGTACGTCTCATGTGAAGTGTGATCGTGTTCCTCTGTACATCTCATGTGAAGAGTGATCATGTTCCTCTGTACATCTCATGTGAAGAGTGATCATGTTCCTCTGTAAATCTCATGTGAAGTGTGATCATGTTCCTCTGTACATCTCATGTGAAGAGTGATCATGTTCCTCCGTACATCTCATGTGAAGAGTGATCGTGTTCCTCTGTACATCTCATGTGAAGAGTGATCGTGTTCCTCTGTGCATATCATGTGAAGTGTGATCGTGTTCCTCTGTACGTCTCATGTGAAGAGTGATCGTGTTCCTCTGTACATCTCATGTGAAGTGTGATCGGTTTCCTCTGTACGTCTCATGTGAAGAGTGATCGTGTTCCTCTGTGCATCTCATGTGAAGAGTAATTGTGTTCCTCTGTACGTCTCATGTGAAGTGTGATCGTGTTCCACTGTACGTCTCATCTGAAGAGTGATCGTGTTCCTCTGTACATCTCATGTGAAGTGTGATCGTGTTCTTCTGTACATCTCATGTGAAAAGAGATCGTGTTCCTCTGTACATCTCATGTGAAGAGTGATCATGTTCCTCTGTACATCTCATGTGAAGAGTGATTGTGTTCCACTGTGCATCTCATGTGAAGAGTGATCGTGTTCCTCTGTGCATCTCATGTGAAGAGTGATCGTGTTCCTCTGTGCATCTCATGTGAAGAGTGATCGTGTTCCTCTGTACGTCTCATATGAAGAGTGATCGTGTTCCTCTGTACATCTCATGTGAAGAGTGATTGTGTTCCTCTGTACGTCTCATGTGAAGTGTGATCCTGTTCCTCTGTACATCTCATGTGAAGAGTGATCATGTTCCTCTGTACATCTCATGTGAAGAGTGATCATGTTCCTCTGTACATCTCATGTGAAGTGTGATCATGTTCCTCTGTACATCTCATGTGAAGAGTGATCATGTTCCTCCGTACATCTCATGTGAAGTGTGATCGTGTTCCTCTGTACGTCTCATGTGAAGAGTGATCGTGTTCCTCTGTACATCTCATGTGAAGTGTGATCGTGTTCCTCTGTACGTCTCATGTGAAGAGTGATCGTGTTCCTCTGTGCGTCTCATGTGAAGAGTAATTGTGTTCCTCTGTACATCTCATGTGAAGAGTGATCGTGTTCAACTGTACGTCTCATCTGAAGAGTGATCGTGTTCCTCTGTACATCTCATGTGAAGTGTGATCGTGTTCTTCTGTACATCTCATGTGAAAAGAGATCGTGTTCCTCTGTACATCTCATGTGAAAAGGGATCGTGTTCCTCTGTACATCTCACGTGAAGAGTGATCATGTTTCTCTGTACATCTCATGTGAAGAGTGATCGTGTTCCACTGTGCATCTCATGTGAAGAGTGATCATGTTCCTCTGTGCATCTCATGTGAAGAGTGATCGTGTTCTTCTTTGCATCTCATGTGAAGAGTGATCATGTTCCTCTGTGCATCTCATGTGAAGAGTGATTGTGTTCCACTGTACATCTCATGTGAAGAGTGATCATGTTCCTCTGTGCATCTCATGTGAAGGGTGATCATGTTTCCCTACATCTCATGTGAAGAGTGATCGTGTTCCTCTGTACATCTCATGTGAAGAGTGATCGTGTTCCTCTGTGCATCTCATGTGAAGAGTGATCATGTTCCTCTGTACATCTCATGTGAAGAGTGATCATGTTCCTCTGTGCATCTCATGTGAAGAGTGATCGTGTTCCTCTGTACATCTCATGTGAAGTGTGATTGTGTTCCTCTGTACATCTCATGTGAAGAGTGATCATGTTCCTCTGTATATCTCATGTGAAGAGTGATCGTGTTCCTCTGTACATCTCATGTGAAGAGTAATCGTGTTCCTCTGTGCATCTCATGTGAAGTGTGATCGTGTTCCTCTGTACGTCTCATGTGAAGAGTGATCGTGTTCCTCTGTACATCTCATGTGAAGAGTAATCGTGTTCCTCTGTGCATCTCATGTGAAGTGTGATCGTGTTCCTCTGTACGTCTCATGTGAAGTGTGATCGTGTTCCTCTGTATGTCTCATGTGAAGAGTGATCGTGTTCCTCTGTGCATCTCATGTGAAGAGTAATTGTGTTCCTCTGTACGTCTCATGTGAAGTGTGATCGTGTTCCTCTGTATGTCTCATGTGAAGAGTGATCGTGTTCCTCTGTACGTCTCATATGAAGAGTGATCGTGTTCCTCTGTACATCTCATGTGAAGAGTGATTGTGTTCCTCTGTACGTCTCATGTGAAGTGTGATCGTGTTCCTCTGTACATCTCATGTGAAGAGTGATCATGTTCCTCTGTACATCTCATGTGAAGAGTGATCATGTTCCTCTGTACATCTCATGTGAAGTGTGATCGTGTTCCTCTGTACATCTCATGTGAAGAGTGATCATGTTCCTCCGTACATCTCATGTGAAGAGTGATCGTGTTCCTCTGTACATCTCATGTGAAGTGTGATCATGTTCCTCTGTACATCTCATGTGAAAAGGGATCGTGTTCCTCTGTACATCTCATGTGACGTGTGATCGTGTTCCTCTGTACATCTCATGTGAAGAGTGATCGTGTTCCTCTGTACATCTCATGTGAAGAGTGATCGTGTTCCTCTGTACACCTCATATTAAATCAACCCTGGTTTTCCATGAAGGTGAGCATTGTGCCGGATGAACCACTGGGCCAGTCTCTGCAGCCAGATGGAGTTCCCTCACAGGTGGGTACATAGTACACGGTAAAGTCAACATTGAATGACCTTGAGATGTGATTGTTTCAGTGTCATGGAATCAGATATTTTCACTGGCCACTCTTTAACTCTCTACATTTCAATACCAATTGTATATGATGATGGCACTATGCCTAGCTTCTGTGTATATAGACATATAGCAGTCAAACGATATACCATGTAACCATTTCTCTCTCCCCTGCACAGACCAGCCTCCCCTCCCATGTGTCCAGCAGCTTCCACCGTGTCCCTTCCCTCCACCTGCAACCAACATCGCTCCCTGCATCACTGCCACGCCTCCAAGAGCACATGGCCAGCATCAGGCAGCAGCTGCAGCAGAGACAGGCTGACACCCCCCCAGTGGCCAACGCCCAACACTGGCAACCCCGCTTCCCGGACCTCCCAGACCCAGCACAGGATACATCCAAGTCCTACCTCTTTACGTCACTCAGGTCAGGACATAGTCAGGGTGTAAACATGGTCATGATCTCTATACATGTTCTTTATCTCCTAGAGATAAGTACTGAGATGTACAACATGGGTACAATGTGTGACATAATGCTTGCAGCCCCCTGCTGGAATATTGCTTACATTTGAGCAAGGTCTACTACTGTATTTTCTTGAGTATAGTGCGCACTTATTTTCGAAAAAACACAGCTGTGTAGAAAGGGGTGCGCATTATACACGAATTATGAGTTTGGATGTTTTTTTCCCCAATGGGAAGGAAGACATTACCGTGAGCACGAAACACCGGAAATACCATGTCAACAAATCCATACTAAAGTACGCAAAATAATCATGTAATTACACTGTCTGGCTATAAAAAGTGTTATTTGTATATCTGGACTTATGTTTGTAACTTATTTTATTAATTTTATTCAAAATTCCTTATAATATTGTTTTTATTAATTTCGGCGAAATCGTGTGTGAAGCGATCGGAAGATCGCACAACTCACCGTTATTAACAGCAACCACGGTCAGAATACCGCTATTGACGCCTTGAAACGAACTTTAGTTGACAGAGAATGGATACATATATCATAAATGACATACTTTGACTCGTTAAAAGTCATATTTGTTTTTGTTTGACGATTCTATGTCAACATGAAATTCTCGCGATCACGCGATCACGCGATCACGTGCACGTGAGCCTTGACGGTGACTGGTCAGACTGGTTCCATGTAAAAAATAATACCCGGCAATAGCGATCAGCTGCTTCGCTTAGGGTTATTATTATTTTAAATATGTTTAGTAAAGGCTGCATGTTAAGAAAATAATGGAATATATTATTCCTGATAAAAAAAATAGTTTCAGATACAATTGTTGCCAATCCTTGCATTAAAAATCCTATAAAGTTATATCATTGGGTGTGTCTTGACCGAATCACCAGTCGATTCCAAGAAAACGTGTGTACAGCTGATTGCTGTTTCCGGCTTAGTTTACGAGAAAATACACAAGGTAATCTTAATCCCTAGATATAAAACAATGCCTAGCAGAACAATAAATACTATTTAAACGGTAAATAAACATGTCTGGTGATTTTTTATCTCAAATTTCGAATTTGTACTGACGTAGTTTCTCAGCACCCGTTCGTTTGCCGGACTTCGCTGAAAGGGTACGGTGTAATTTTTTTCTGCGCATAATATTCAAATTTCTTTTTTTCCAAAATATTGAACCCGCTAGAGGGGGGTGCGCATTATACATGGGTGCGCACTATACTCAAGAAAATACGGTAACTATGTCATCATCTTTTTTCATAACAGTGCTACTATATATTTCCCAAATGATGCAATATAGGTGGTAACTCTTGCAGAACTGTCTATATATACAGTGTAGTGACCTGACAAGGTTGAGATGTTGAGTGTTGCAGAACTGTCTCTATGCACAGTGTAGTGATGATGATGTGTTACCTGTTGCAGGAAGCAGCTGGAGGACTTGGACAGCATCACCGCCCGGTTGAAGGAGAAGCTTGGACCTGACAGTGCCGCCAACGGAGAGAGACAGCCAGTGAGAGCCTCAGGGATGGTCCTGACTGGTACATTCGCTGGGCTGAGTACAATACATTCCGTGTCTTCACAGGGAGATGCCATGGAAAATATTGAGAAGGACATTGCTGTGTCTCATTCCTCTAACATAGAGGAGAACGTTGCTGCGTCTCGTTCCTCCAACATCGCTGCTGATTCTGGAGCCTACTCCGTAGAGAACTCCTCCGAGAACACAGGTGCAGATAGCCAGAGAAGCGAGCGAGCCAGCGTGTTCACGACACCACCTAATCCGGGATCTAGTAACAATGGCTCAGATTCGGGTGTCAACAAAGACACAAGCTTGACACTGAGAACACCCCGAGAGTGGCTGGACTCCAATGGTGTTGACAGGCCACAAGTGCTGGGAACCTCTGCTAAGGACTTAACAAATAATAGCGATAGGTTAGTTTTCACAGAAGGAGGCGATGCTATGGGTGAGTTCCTGATGACAGTGGACACTCCTCGGGATGTGCTGACTAACTATGAGACCAGCCAGGGCTTTGTGCCAGGTCAGATGCTGCCGTCTCCCAGCCAAGGTTCCACAGAGCCCAGATCTCACACCAGGAGCCGTGTGGAGCAGGACATCCAGGAGAGCATCCAGGAGTTGGACTCTGACCAGGATGAGGGAGAGCAGTTTGGGAACTACCACTGCTACCGAGAGATGCTGGACAGTGAGGAGTTGGAAGCTGATGATGAGGGTGAAGGTGTGGAGATTGTTCATCCTCGAAGGATCAATGATGTGTCTGGCATCCTAGCAGGCTTCTACTCAGGACAGACAGGTGATACCGATGGGAGACTTGTCAGTAATGGACAAAGTCAGGGTTTTGATAAGCCACGATATGAAGCAGCCCAGACTGTGGCAACGGATGATGAAACGGTTCACAAAACACACCTAGGTCAGCCTGGATCCAGGCAAGTACAGCAAACTTTCACGCAACATTGTGAGAGACATGACACAGAGAACAGTGAGACAAAGCAAAGAAAACGGACTCTTGTAGATTGTTGGCTATCTGAGACTGACGATGTTGGTGGTGAAGGAGGAGAAACTCCTCAAGAAGTCAGTGACATGGAGGACATAGATGAAGCCACTCCTAGAAAGATGCCCCCAGCACGAGCTGGTCACAACACCTCAACCCTGTTGTCTAATGTGGAGCTTCTTGACACTCTGACATCCACCTTGGAGACGAGGGAACAGTCAGGAGAGGAATTGGAGCAGCCACGCAGGCCCCACTCACAACGTCTCCTGTCTAATGTAGACCTTGAGTCTGTGACATCGTACAACACCAGCCACCGACCAGACTCGGGCAGCAGTAAGATCTCAGGTCGATCTTCTCATCTCAGCAGCAACAGGAAGGATGAGGACATTGTGGAGGACACGGCAGAGGGGGACCTGGAATGGACGGGGGACGAACGTCGAGAACGTTTTGACGCAGTGAGACAGGAACTGGATGACTTCTTCTCCAGACAGAAGGAGACTGATGGAACTCTGGAGGATTCGAGCTTTCCAGCGCTGAAGCACTTGTCCCTGTCAGGTGACCTGTCCACCCACAGCAGCGGGCAGAACCTACATCACACAATACGGCACGTCCAGCAGGGCTACGACACCAACACCGACCTGCACAGTGACCGCACCACGGAGGACAGTGGGCTGGAGAGCGGAACCAAGTCATCCCAAGACGAGAAAGAAGCATTCTCCATGTTTGATATCACTCACAGAACCGACCCCATGCCCAACTTCTTTTTGCCACCCGAGAACCTCCAGGCGTCCATGAGGGCTCTGCAGGCGGCCACAGCAGCAGCGACACAGATGACACAGGTGACAGGCTTCCCCATACATCCTACTGGAGAACAGTTAATGTTCTCTGTACATTGTTTACTGAATCACCAGTAGTTCAAGGAGCAAAGAAAATATGACAGTGTGTTTGCTATTTCTGGGTTATCGTGAGAAAATCACACATGACAATATTGATTTAAAAAAATGTTATTTAAATACTTAAAAGGAAATACAGATAAAGTTGTTAGTTGACTGGTAACAATTATCACAAAAATTGTGTTTCATTGACATTTTGAACTAAGTTTATTCTCTGACTCACTAATCACTGAAACGGTGCCACCCTCAATAGTGATTTCATTGTACTGGTAACAAATTCTTTTTCTACATCTTTATCATGCGTGCTAGGATTGACTACAGCCCAGTTTTACATGAATGGTTATCTTGAGTGCTGCAGTGTTTCCCGGACACACCTGAGTAGCTCTTTCATTGCTTGTTCCAGGACCCAGGTCAGGCAGCAGAGAGGGTTCAAGCCACCTCACAGTTGGCCCACAAGCTAGCTGCAGGGTCAAAGATCAAGTTTGCACCTGTTTCAACTAAAGGGAGACAGCATCCAACGGCAAATGAAGCAAAACGAATAGCAAAGATATTTTCTTCCAGAATGAAATAGATAGGACTTTTGTTTTATGAAGAACTGTGTTTGATCACTCTCCACCTGTACTTGTAGGAACTATATGCGTGGTAAGCTGTGCAATTGAGGAACAATTTCTGCAATGTAGTCCACAGCAATGTAGCCTGATTTCCACTTAATTACTACATCTATATTTTCTACAGCATGGAGGTGGGTGGGGGGTGTTACTATGTGTTCATGATGTAACACAATCCTGATGTAGACCCAGCAACTTATACTTCCTCACTTTGATATTTCACTTCTGTTGCCTCAGGGTGTGTGTATAAACTGTTGTGTGTAGGTTTGTCTCAGGGTGTGTGTATAAACTGTTGTGTGTAGGTTTGTATCCACCACTAGGGAACTGTTATCTGTAGTATGTAACGTGTAACTCTGTCATCTAACTGTGTAGCTGCATCATGTAATAGTATTCCTCTACAATGTAGCATTGCTGATTTACTGTTACATTGTTGCTGTCATGTCACATTGTCATTGCATCATGTAACATTGTTGCTGTGCTGTGTAATGACTTTGCTACATTATTCCAACTGGTGTAGATCTGTACATAGCACTGATGAGAGGACACTCCAGTGTATATAATCTTCTTGTCTGTGATACCGTCTCTCATCACCATAGTCTTTCACACTAGTTGGCCTATTTCCTGTCATGATAACATGACTGTTCAATATAGTTGTATGTTTAGAGGTAGGATCTGCCCATCTACTTATGGTTAATCTGTACATAGGAGATTGTGTATATTGATAATGTACATATGTCATAGTAACTAGCCTTGGGGTAGTCTGGTGGTTAAAGCAATCGCATGTCACGCCGAAGACCTGGGTTGGACTCCCCACATGGGTACAATGTGTGAAGCCCATTTCTGGTGTCACCCGCTGTGATATTGCTGGAATATTGGTAAAAGCGGCATAAAACTCACTCACACACTCATAGCTAGCCTCGCACACAACTTGACAAAGAAAGAATGTAGCTTGTGCTGTTAACTTGGATTGTTCAATATCATGAAGCATGAAGACACAAGAAGGAGTCCTGCCATCACAGCTTCAGTAGTCCCCAGACAGACGCAGCCGGTGCACTTCCAGTCTACCAGGCTTCACCACTGTAGAGTCGTATTTGTACAGATCTGTGCATGTCCTCCATATACTAATAGTTAGGGGTGAAACGGTACAGCTAGGTCACGATACGATGCGTATTCTTGACAATAAATATTTCAGAGCAGGTTCAAAAGGGTAGGCTAGCTGTAGACACATGTTGGTAGTGGCTGTTTTTAGTAGTGAACATGAAACTCTAATTACAAGACATTTTGCGATATCTGACTGACAAAAATGCCAGGGGGCATTAAACGAGCATTCATCTATTTCAGTAGGTGTACCGTCTTGTATCAATACAGAAAAAAAACGTATTGTGTATCGATGCACCAGTGCACAGATATATTGTTTCATCCCTACCAAATGTATTTTGGATGAAGTGGTAGCCGCCAACAGTAGGCTCAGTGTAGTTCCTGTCCCAGCTCCACTCCACTCCACTCATCTCCTCTCCACTCCACTCCACTCCACTCCACTCCACCCATCCCGCAGTGCTATGGTTATTGTAGTTATTGTAGTGTGTACCACTTGTGGGACACAAGACGAGGGACAGACCCACTCAGCATCCATGCTGTGTTGTAGATACCCTGTATGCCCAGAGAGGGGGCATGTAATCAGCTGTTGTACTTCATTAGCAAAGTATCTCATTTCATGTATCACTAGAAATTTAGTTACAAATCATTGAGGACTGCATACCGGGAATAAATTGTTAATGTGTTTATCATAAAGGTAGTGAAATCAGTTTAATTATTTTTTAATGTATATGTTGTGCTTGTTTATTTTCACATGTTGAAAGAAGTGCCATGCAACATTAACACAATGATTTGTAAATGTAATGAACCATGAAATAGTTTTTCTCACTTTTATACTGTAGAGATTGTGAAGCGTGTAGTATGTAGTGGCGCGTTACCCAGGTGGACGGACGCACACAGTTGTAGTTGTGTATCATCTCTAGTCACATGACTGATTCCGTCCATACACGGCACCTCTGTCTCGGCCAGTAGCATCATAGCAAGGACTTACCTGTTGCATGTTTGTTGATGATGTTGGGTCATTAATGTGCAGCCTGTTGTGCATGTGGTCACATGAAGGGGAAGAACATCACACTGGCTGTTCATGTACTGGTGTTTCAAGTAACAAGTGTTACCATCATTGGGTATTCATGTTACCATCAGTTCTCATGCTCAAAGTGCCTCTCATCAAAAAAGCCCTCTGAAGTCACCAAAGATTGTTGACCCCTTTTTTGGAGCAAAACATGGCATTGTTCTGTGTTTATATGTTTCATACAACGATCAATAACAGTGTCCCTCATTTGTATTAAATGTTCTTTGAACAAAATGCTCCAGTGTTCTTGCAATACTATGTTTATACTTAGTATTGTGGAGAAACTACCTGAACGTCCTAAAGTGCCTCTAGTGCCAACCCCTACATGGTATATGTACTTGTATTCTGATGTGTACGTGTGTTGTGTCAATCTGTCCTTAGTGGGGAGACCTTCTAGCCTCTACACCTCTTGTAGTAGGAGAGACATCCCTTACCTGTGGGTACAATCTGTACAGCTCATGCCTGTGGTATATTGTCTGTACAGCCCATGCCTGTGGTATATTGTCTGTACAGCTCATGCCTGTGGTATATTGTTTGTACAGCCCATGCCTGTTGTATATTGTCTGTACAGCTCATGCCTGTGGTATATAGTCTGTACAGCCCATGCCTGTGGTATATAGTCTGTACAGCTCATGCCTGTGGTTCTTTTGTCTGTACAGCCCATGCCTGTGGTATACTGCCTGTACAGCCCATGCCTGTGGTATATTGTCTGTACAGCCCATGCCTGTGGTATATTGTCTGTACAGCTCATGCCTGTGGTTCTTTTGTCTGTACAGCCTATGCCTGTGGTATATAGTCTGTACAGCCCATGCCTGTGGTATATTGTCTGTACAGCCTATGCCTGTGGTATATAGTCTGTACAGCTCATGCCTGTGGTATATTGTCTGTACAGCCCATGCCTGTGGTATATGGTCTGTACAGCCCATGCCTGTGGTATACTGCCTGTACAGCCCATGCCTGTGGTATATTGTCTGTACAGCCCATGCCTGTGGTATATTGTCTGTACAGCTCATGCCTGTGGTTCTTTTGTCTGTACAGCCTATGCCTGTGGTATATAGTCTGTACAGCCCATGCCTGTGGTATATTGTCTGTACAGCCCATGCCTGTGGTATATTGTCTGTACAGCCCATGCCTGTGGTATATTGTCTGTACAGCTCATGCCTGTGGTATATTGTTTGTACAGTCCATGCCTGTGGTTCTTTTGTCTGTACAGCTCATGCCTGTGGTATACTGCCTGTACAGCCCATGCCTGTGGTATATTGTCTGTACAGCCCATGCCTGTGGTATATTGTCTGTACAGCTCATGCCTGTGGTTCTTTTGTCTGTACAGCCTATGCCTGTGGTATATAGTCTGTACAGCCCATGCCTGTGGTATATTGTCTGTACAGCCTATGCCTGTGGTATATAGTCTGTACAGCTCATGCCTGTGGTATATTGTCTGTACAGCCCATGCCTGTGGTATATGGTCTGTACAGCCCATGCCTGTGGTATATTGTCTGTACAGTCCATGCCTGTGGTATATTGTCTGTACAGCTCATGCCTGTGGTATGTGATCCATATTACCCATCTGAAGATCATGATTTGTACTACTTCTGCATTGATGTGATGTTCCGAGTGTGGGGTACGCTATTCACACATACACGTTCACTATCCATACATTAATCTGGAAGGACTGGTAGACTTGTGTGTCAGAAACTTGGCTATTGACTCAGTTGTTATCACTACTCATGAACTTTGTTATACTCCATGTTCTCTAGACATGTACCTGATACATATACATGCACCTGACATATCTGACGTATGTTTTATGTTTTGCCTTATAACACTTGGTGCCAAAGTGTCTTCCATTAATAAATATACTAATATTTTGACACCAGTTGACAGCAGGAGTATTGTAGAATGGCTTTCAGAATCAGACAGCAGTTTGTCCAGATACAGCCATTAGCACAACCATGACAAATTATAAACATAGTTTATAACAGCTGCATGTAGCATCCACTATTGGTCCATTTTGAACCTTCAGAATAATTCATTCAAAGTACCATGGTCAACCTCTTAATGAAGTTCTGAAGGTCAATGTTGAACCTGTAGATCCAGTTCTCAAGGGTACCTGCTGGTGAATGCTGAACCTGTAGATCCAGTTCTCAAGGGTACGCTGGTGAATGTTGAACCTCTAGATCCAGTTCTCAAGGGGACCTGCTGGTGAATGCTGAACCTGTAGATCCAGTTCTCAAGGGGACCTGCTGGTCAATGCTGAACCTGTAGATCCAGTTCTCAAGGGTACCTGCTGGTCAGTGTTGAACCATTCAGATCCAGTTCTCAAGGGCACCTGCTGGTCATTGTTGAACCTTTGACTGTGTTCCAAGTGGGCACATGGCCTGTGGTCAACCTTTTTATGAAGTTCCAAAGGGTTCAAGATCAATGATCAAGCCCTTATTGACACATCAGTGAACCAAAACCCCTGACTGAACATTCTGACCCGAAGATGCCGCCGCCATATAGAACTGCTGCTGTCATCAGTGTCTTGCTCTGGACTGTCAGACTAGGTCACAGTCCTGGAGTTGCTATAGATGTATTCTATACATGTGGTCCACCTGTCACAGTAGGTCACAGTCCTGCTATAGATGTACTTACTTTTGTACATGTAGGATGTATTTATACATAGACAGGTAGAGTTTCTTTCTGTATACAGGTAAAACAATGACATTTTTGTACTTAATACTGTGTATGTATTGTATTATAGAAAATTAAATTATTATTTCAACTTACTCTTGTGTTTGTTAATCAAAATGTGTCACCCAACACTTTAAATGTTAACACCTTCTGACATGATGTTTGACCACCTCCGTAGTAGAGCACAGAGAGCACAAGGTGGTCGGTGCTCCAATCCCCTGGCCGCATCATTCCACAAGATGGTTCATGGTGTTACCGTGCCTGAACATCACGGATCAGTACTAGCAACTCTCAAAAGCCTGCAGGCATGTTCATTCCTCTTTTGTTCTGGATTCCGTATATTGCTGTTTTTTTTCAACTTTGTACCTCACTATCCCACATAACAAACTTCAGGAAAACCTTAATTCCTTGATCCATGGGGCATTTGCCACGGAACGTGGAGACCATAGATATTGTTACAACTCTAGTTTAGTCAGGAGGTTGATCCCCAGCCGCATCATACCAAAAAGTGTTAAAACATGGTATTTGTTGTTTCCCTGCCCGGCGCTCAGCATTAAAACAAGGACTTGTCAGCTAGGAGTCAGTATACTGTGTCTGATAGGAGTATCTCAGTGGGCTAGCACTTCAAAACTGGCATTAGTCCTGAATATTACAAGCAACCACACACACACACACACACACACACACACACACATGCATGCACTGTGCTATATAAGTGCAATAATCTTGAACCCCACCTTACCTCACATGATTTCACACATTCTCCAGCCAGAACGGGCTGACTAACACATACAATGTCGAGGAATGTTAAAGATTGGAAATAGATTTTATTGTTCACAGGTTTGGTTGCATTTCATGACCACACAAAAGAAATGACTTCAGTAACCAGTACCATGCTGAAGTGATGACTGTAACCATGGTTACAAGACTAATAACCGTTGTATTAACACTATAGATAATTCAATGTAGATAAAACCTTTGATGGTCTGTGTAGCATCCAGCTCAGTACAGACTGTGTCATCACTCAATCCATGTTGCAGTCCATAACCTTGACCTGTGTATAGACAAGGATCCTGTACTGTCAGTTGTGGGTACAGAAACAGCTATCACAGGACAATTCCTACTCTATTGACATGTGTAGGTACAGTATCAACAAATCTGAGATCAACTCTGGATATAATACTGTGCTGTAACATATTCTCAACATTCCAAGATAGACTGGGACTTCTACACAACCAATTCAAAATAATACACTCCTCTGACAGCTGGGCTCTATCAACAGGCACCTAGGACATTGTTTCCCAAGGGCTTCATCTGGAGGAGGTTTGGCCGACACATCACACAGCAGTCTCCGATAGATGACGCATCCGCATTAATGATGCATGTAATAAATAATATTTACCAAAATACACACAGCAATGATCACTCCAACAACAGGAATAAACAAACAAAGCGGCTTACAATAGGATGGGGCTTATGTACATGGACAGAGAGCAGGCAAGCCAAGACAGATGACTGGTAATGTTACAGAGACAAACAAGATCTGCTATCTTGAACACAGTATATATCACACATACCTACATAATATATAGCACATGTATATCTACACAGCATACACCACTGGATTTGACATGCAACACTTTGAAAACATTCCACAAAAGTTGGACAGTAACATTGGTGGAACTGATAGCCAACACCTCCAGACTGCATCAGGATGAAATAGTCCCTGACACAGGCTCTTACTGTCTACCTACACAACACAACACAACACACAATACACAGATATACAGGATATAATCAGGTATACACAGATCTTCAGAAGTGTAGATGTTAACTATGTGCATACAGACACATTGATGCAGGAACTTGTCTATCACCACAGGAACTTGTCTATCACCACAGGAACTCGTCTATCACCACAGGAACTTGTCTATCACCACAGGAACTTGTCTATCACCACAGGAACTTATCCATAATCATAGACACTTGTCTATCACATATTTAACATGTTTTCTTCTCCAGTCTCACAGGGACTTCAGGCTTCATCTGCCTCTACAAGTACATCACATTTCTGGTGCATGACAGTAGCTCTGTCTCCACTGTTAAACACCCTTTCCCTTCCTGTCCACAATAGTCACAGTTTTTAGTTTGGCCTTCATCTGCCTCCTCCTCTCGCCCTCCTCCGAATCATCACTGCTCTCCCCCTCGGCCCCTCGCCCCTCCCCCCGCTGCTCCTGGAGGTCCCGGTTCTCCCTCTCGCGACGCTCACGCTTCGAGTTGATCACCAGCTTGGCACACACTTCCAGGGGTGCCGGCTCCACAAACTCTGTCCCTGATAATACAGGACAAATGACTGTCAGTCTTTTCATGAAAATATGCCTGTCATGCTAAATACAAGTGCAATTGCCGTTTATATATACTTGAACATAAGAATAGATTGCTTACTACCCAGTGAACTGACTAGTGGACTGACTAGTGGCATCGATGGGTGCAATTCACTGTGCACAGCTGTGTTCCTTAGGAATGCCAGAAATCTATGATTGTGGATTTTAATCCAAGTTGGCATTGATTATGTTTCTAGGTTTCTCAGCACCATACCCGTGCACATGGGTATCAATAAGCCTCCTGATCCCACCTACCAATCAGCCTCCTGGTCTCACCTGTTTATTTCTGTTGTTGGAGTGATCATTGCTGTGTGTATTTTGTTAAATATTATTTATTACTTTTGTTAACCTGTTACAGATTTATAGCTCCACCTACCAATCAGCCTCTTGATACCACATACCAATCAGCCTCCTGGCCCCACCCACCTATCAGCCTCATAGCTCCACCTACTAATCAGCCTCTTGGCCCCCACCTACCAATCAGCCTCCTAGCTCCACCTACCAATCAGCCTCTTGGCCCCACCTACCAGTCAGCCTCCTAGCCCCACCCTCCAATCAGCCTCCTGGCCCCACCTACCAGTCAGCCTCCTGGCCCCACCTACCAATCAGCCTCCTAGCTCCACCTACCAATCAGCCTCATAGCCCTACCTACCAATCAGCCTCCTTGCCCCACCTACCAATCAGCCTCCTAGCACCACCTACCAATCAGCCTCATAGCTCCACCTACCAATAAGCCTCTTTGCCCCACCTACCAATCAGCCTCCTAGCGCCACCCACCAATCAGCCTCTTGGCCCCCACCTACCAATCAGCCTCATAGCTCTACCTACCAATCAGCCTCTTGGCCCCATCTACCAATCAGCCTCATAGCTCCACCTACCAATCACCCTCACAGCCCCACTTACCAATCAGACTCCTTGCCCCACCTACCAGTCAGCCTCCTGGCCCAACCTACCAATCAGCCTCCTTGTCCCGTCTACCAATCAGCCTCCTTGCCCCATCTACCAATCGGCCTCATAGCTCCATCTACCAATCACCCTCCTAGTGCCACCTACTCATAAGCCTCCTTGCCTCACCTACCAATCAGCCTCCTAGCTCCACCTACCAGTCAGCCTCATGGCTCCACCTACCAATCAGCCTCATGACCCCCCCTACCAATCAGCCTCATAGCTCCACCTACCAATCAGCCTCCTGGCCCCACCTACCAATCAGCCTCATAGCTCCACCTACCAATCAGCCTCATAGCGCCACCTACCAAATAGCCTCATAGCTCCACCTACCAATCAGCCTCCTGGCCCCACCTACCAATCAGCCTCCTAGTGCCACCTACTCATAAGCCTCCTTGCCCCACCTACCAATCACCCTCCTAGTGCCACCTACCAATCAGCCTCCTAGCGCCACCTACCAATCAGCCTCATAGCTCCACCTACCAATCAGCCTCCTGGCCCCACCTACCAATCAGCCTCATAGCTCCACCTACCAATCAGCCTCCTAGCACCACCTACCAATCAGCCTCATAGCTCCACCTACCAATCAGCCTCATAGCTCCACCTACCAGTCAGCCTCATAGCTCCACCTACCAATCAGCCTCATGACCCCGCCTACCAATCACCCTCCTAGTGCCACCTACTCATAAGCCTCCTTGCCCCACCTACCAATCAGCCTCATAGCTCCACCTACCAATCAGCCTCCTAGCTCCACCTACCAAATAGCCTCATAGCTCCACCTACCAATCAGCCTCATAGCTCCACCTACCAATCACCCTCCTAGCGCCACCTACCAATCAGCCTCATAGCTCCACCTACCAATCAGCCTCCTAGCTCCACCTACCAAATAGCCTCATAGCTCCACCTACCAGTCAGCCTCATAGCTCCACCTACCAATCACCCTCCTAGTGCCACCTACTCATGAGCCTCCTTGCCCCACCTACCAATCAGCCTCATAGCTCCACCTACCAATCAGCCTCCTAGCGCCACCTACCAATCAGCCTCCTCGCGCCACCTACCAATCAGCCTCATAGCTCCACCTACCAATCAGCCTCCTGACCCGCCTACCAATCAGCCTCATAGCTCCACCTACCAGTCAGCCTCATAGCTCCACCTACCAATCACCCTCCTAGTGCCACCTACTCATAAGCCTCCTTGCCCCACCTACCAATCAGCCCCCAGGCCCCACCTACCAATCAGCCTCATAGCTCCACCTACCAATCAGCCTCCTGGCCCCACCTACCAATCAGCCTCATAGCGCCACCTACCAATCACCCTCCTAGTGCCACCTACTCATAAGCCTCCTTGCCCCACCTACCAATCAGCCCCCAGGCCCCACCTACCAATCAGCCTCATAGCTCCACCTACCAATCAGCCTCCTGGCCCCACCTACCAATCAGCCTCATAGCGCCACCTACCAATCAGCCTCATAGCTCCACCTACCAATCAGCCTCCTAGCGCCACCTACCAATCAGCCTCATAGCTCCACTTACCAATCAGCCTCCTAGCGCCACCTTCCAAATAGCCTCATAGCTCCACCTACCAATCGGCCTCATAGCTCCACCTACTTATCAGCCTCCTAGCGCCACCTACCAATCAGCCTCATAGGTCCACCTACCAGTCAGCCTCATAGCTCCACCTACCAATCAGCCTCATGACCCCGCCTACCAATCAGCCTCCTAGTTCCACCTACCAAATAGCCTCATAGCTCCACCTACCAATCAGCCTCATAGCTCTACCTACCAATCAGCCTACAGGCCCCATCCACCAATCAGCCTCATAGCTCCACCTACCAATCAGCATCATAGCTCTACCTACCAAATAGCCTCATAGCTCCACCTACCAATCGGCCTCATAGCTCCACCTACCAATCAGCCTCCTGGCCCCATCTACCAATCGGCCTCATAGCTCCACCTACCAATCAGCCTCCTAGCACCACCTACCAATCAGCCTCCTGGCCTCTACACCATCTATGATGGGGCTCATCCACGTGGACATGCGCGTCCCGTCCAGCCCCGCTGCCAGGGGGACATACACGTAGAACACAACGTCCAGCACCTCCTGCTTCCTCAGCCCGCGACCCTTCAAACCCTTGCCTGAAAACAAATCAAAATATGTTGAGACATTTCAAGTGAAAAGCAGAAATATTATGACTCATCTTCTGAGAAATTTGTATGTGATGGTTATAGTGTGACAAAATAATTATAAGTGCATTTAGAATGCACAAGACGTCATTCACCAAGTGACTGGTCATGGCTCTCCATTACAATTACCCTGATCAATGGATCTCCCTGGAGAGTATACAACCCAAGTTGTCAAGTTGCCCTTGAGGTCAAGCTGACGAACACAGTCACCAATCCAAGGACTTGGCTGACTTGACCTGACTGGTGACCTGTGCACAGGACCACATGCCACCACTCTCTGTCCAGGTGGGTCCATCACATGGAAATAGTCAGAATGTGGCCAACACATACCAACATGACCATACATTCAGTCACTCAATTAAGAGGGGGATTCAGGGTAAACTCTCACCTTTAAACAACACATCCACAGCCTCATCTAGTTCCGCCTGCGAGGGATACAGATCACACTCCTTAAAGAACTGGTCCAGTTCACACAGTTCCAGCTCTCCGCCGAACGCTTTCTTCTCGAACACACTCTCGTACCCTGCACAGAGAGCAAGGTGGATCAGATTTCCTTAATCCAGAATTTTATACAGAGCATAGGAACACGTAAATAACATTTAACATTAAATAAAAAACTGATTGTAGAATAAACAGTCTTATAAATGTGTGACTCACGTCTTCGGAGGTCCATGTACTCATTCATCTCCTTGAATGTGAAAGGTGTCTTGGGGCGGTCGCGCCCGTGTTGGCGCTGAACGCGGGACAGCATGGTCTTGTAGTCCCTCACCATCCTCTCGAAGCTGAAGCCAGACCAACCCGCCTGAAACACAGCAACACATTACTGTCTTGGATTTCACCTCCACTGATCTGTGCTGTGCTTTATCACATTGCCAGCAACATTTGGCGAAAGCTTGTTGAGCTTTGTGTATGATATCCAGCATGGAAAAAGCGCCACATAAATATATTATTATATTAAATAGATATTATATAGATATTAGGGGGGCGCCACCTAGCGAGTGCCGGGTCAGACGTGCAACACATGAGCTCCGTTGAAACTGGTAAAATACAAAGTTTAAATCGCAAGTATCAACATAAATGTTCTAGCCCTTATCATATTTCAAGCCAGTCAACAGGATGGGATGTGATAATGAACTTTATAGATCCAGAATCGGCTGTTTCAAGTCAACCTTTGTTTCGTTCATGCTGAACAGAGCGAGGAAGGCCGCCATGTTCAAGCACGTGCTGCACGTTCCGGCCGACTCGGGGACCGGGCTACGAGGTGTGTTGATTTTTTCGTTGCTTGTCATTCTGATAAGCAACGATGTCGAGAAAAACCCAGGACCTCCTAAAAGACAAGTGACTCTTGATGGCGAGGTGAGTCCTAATGAACTTTTGAAAGAAATGCGTGAAATGAGAAGTGAAATGAATGAGAATTTCAGTAAGCTGTCTACGAGAATAGGAAAAATGGAACGTAAATTATCTTCACTAGCAGACGACAGTGAACAGATACAGAAAACTGTTACAGAACTGACAGAAAGCATTGATTTTCTCGAAGCAAGCAGTCGGAGGAACAACCTGCTGTTTTTCAACGTAAGTGAGACTTCTGAAGAAAAGCCGTCTGATATTGAAGATAAGATTACTAACATCATTGAAAGGACGATGAAAATAGACAGTGACGTCGGGATTGACAGTGTGAAGAGACTACCGAGTAAATCCCTAGGCGCAAGACCCATTCTTGTGAAGTTCAAAGACTTTAAGTCCAAGTCTACAGTGCTGAAATCAACAGGAAAACTTAAGGGAACTAAGATTGGGGTTGCAGAGGATTTCACGAAGAAAGTGAGAGAATCTAGGGCCAAATTGAAGTTTCACTGTGTTGAGATCTGATAGACTGATTATTGACAACAAAATGTATAGATGGGACGATGAATCCAACACAACTAAGCTTGTAAAAACAGTCTCAAAAACACACAAAGCTAAAGAATAAAGGTGTGGCCAAGGTCCTAACAACGTAAATATTATCCCTTTCGTCAAATGTATTTCATGGAACATTGAAGGTTTCAGAAGACATTTACAGAAATCCGACTTTATTAACTATATCAACAAATATAATCTAATTTCATTTGTGGAAACATGGTGTGATTATGACCTTGTGGACATTCAGGACTATACAGGTTCGAGTAAGCATGCAGACGAATCATTATTTGAAATACTAATAGCTGACGTTGCCAAGTTTAAAACGGCAAATCAGGATTGTGACATCATTGTTCAGAGCGATTTACATGCATGGACAGGTGAGGGCTCCTTTTGTGACTACGTTGTTGATGACGATACAACATATTTACCAACTGATGAAGGTTTGGGATATATTGAGGCTATCAATCTTCCACGAGTTTCTCAAGACAAGAGCAGCAATAAGCGTGAACGTTCCCTTATTGATAGGTGTAAACTAACAAACCGTTACCGTCAAAACTGGGATTGTTTACAAAGGAAACCTTGTAAGTACTTTCAATTCGTGTATATCCAACGATGACAAACAAAACGCCTTTGCAACATTTCAAAATTTGATTGAATGTTGTGCAGACATTTGTAAAAAAAAACCCAGAGAAATTTGAAAACGCATAAGGAAGGGGCATAACTGGTTTGATCAAGAATGTTGGGACACACGTGCAACCGCTCGCTGTCTTCTCCATGCATATCATGATTCTAGCAGTGACAACAACCGACAACGGTACATTGACTCGTGGAAATCGTACAGAAGCCCATGCAAACAGAAATCGACATTTGTGTTTCAGTGTTATATCACAGACATTAACAATGCTTTATCAACGAATAATAGTAGACAGTTCTGGTAATGTTTTAAAGAAAGGTCATTTAAAAGTAATTCAATTTCACCAGATTCTTGGTCATTGCATTTCAATCATTTGTTCCAAGGCACTAATTTGCTGAATGTGAGAAACAGTTTTATACAGATGTTCAACATTTTTTGAATCTATTAGTGAAGAGTTGGTGAACTCTACTGTAGATGACAATGGGGTAGATAGTAGAATAACATCAGATGAAATATTTAAGGCTGTTAATCTATTAGTGAAGAGTTGGTGAACTCTACTGTAGATGACAATGGGGTAGATAGTAGAATAACATTAGATGAAATATTTAAGGCTGGTAATGATATGCCAAATAGAAAAGCCCCAGGGTTTAGTGGTGTACCCATTGAATTTTTAAATATGCCCCTCCCATGTGTTTTGAAATGCTGTTATCCTTGTTTAATAAAATCTTATTGGCTGGTACTTATCCAGAGGAGTGGGCTTTAGGTATCATTCTTCCTTTGCATAAAAATTAATCAATTAAACTATTATGGAATTATTATGGTTCTGTTCGGATGAACAAAACCTTCCAAATGGCATGCTGGTTTTCTTGGGGGAATTAGTCAGCAAAGGGCCGGAGTCACAGGAGACCAATCACAATTTTATTTACAAGAACAATTAACAATGAACAATTTACAATATCTTAGAATATAGCTGAGGGTGCCACAAAGAGTCGGTACAACCCCCTGGGCTGTGGGAGAGAGGCCTGCTTGGTATGAGCGTCAAACCGCTTCTGCTTAACATTTTGCTTCTGTATGTGTTTAACAAGAATTAGGACAATAAAAAGGAATATGACTGGTTGATACACACTGGTCTGTGCCTTATGGTTAATGAATGGCTAGACAGAGGGGCATACTTAATCCTGTTAATCCAGTTGGACTGGCACTAATCTTGTTGACAGATTTACTGGGTGCTTTGAAGGAGATTATGGTATCACCATAGACGAGCTTGTATTGGGGCTAAGCCTTAATGCACTATAGACGAGCTTGTATGGGGGCTAATCCTTAATGAGTCTAAATTGAAGTAATTGCTGAATGTTATTCTAATATAGGTGATGACAGATTTACTTAAATAAAATAGTTCAAGGTAATCTATAAGACTATGTAGACATATCTTTTGTCTGGGAGATGCGATCTTGATACCTTAGGCTAGCATTTATCTAAAAGCTTCAAATCTATTAAACTATGTAGACATAACTCGTCTTATTGAATAGTATGTCTAGGAGATGCGCTCCCGTTACCTTAGGCTAGTATCTATCTAAAAAGGTATAACTGAAACTACTGATATTTTATATGTGCATTTTACCCGATGATAAGTATTACTTGCTAAACTATAATTATATGAAATGATGTATAAATATTACACCGTGATAACTCATAAAAGCACTTGATGTGGATCTAATTATTATAGGAAAACTTAGTATAAATGTTATATCATGATAAAACCATGCTTTGTATTAGAAAGATATTTAACATCAATACCTGTTAGAGTATATCAATTTGCTTTTAGTTCTTTCCGTTGTTCTCGCCATAACCTAATGCTTGAAGAAGGTAGAAAAATTGGTCTTTCTAGAGATGAACGCTTATGTCCATTTAGTGTAGTCCGTGTAATTGAAACTGAGTATCTGTTCTGCATTGAATGTCAATTTTACTCAGATCTGAGAAATGGTCTTATACCTAAGTATTACCATTCACAACCTTCATTTGATAAATATTGCACTCTTATGTCTTGCCAAAATGAACATGTTATTAATAAATTAGCTAAATATATTTTTCTTGCTTTCAAGAAACGACAACAGTTTTTCAATAATTCAATTGTTTCACTATGTGTACCCCTTATATCATCTGGCACCTGCTATTGTTGTAATCCACTGCATCCATAGGGTATAATGGGCCGGTGGCCTCTTTACTGAAATAAACTCACTCACTCAATAGATTATTATTATTATTATTAAGTGTCACCGATATCAGCAACATCTGAGCAAGTGTCACCGATATCAGCAACATTTGAGCAAGTGTCACCGATATCAGCAACATCTGAGCAAGTGTCACCGATATCAGCAACATCTGAGCAAGTGTCACTGATATCAGCAACATCTGAACAAGTGTCACCGATATCAACAACATCTGAGCAAGTGTCACCGATATCAGCAACATCTGAGCAAGTGTCACCAATATCAGCAACATCTGAGCAAGTGTCACCGATATCAGCAACATCTGAGCAAGTGTCACCGATATCAGCAACATCTGAACAAGTGTCACCGATATCAACAACATCTGAGCAAGTGTCACCGATATCAGCAACATCTGAGCAAGTGTCACCAATATCAGCAACATCTGAACAAGTGTCACCGATATCAGCAACATCTGAGCAAGTGTCACCAATATCAGCAACATCTGAGCAAGTGTCACCGATATCAGCAATATCTGAGCAAGTGTCACCAATATCAGCAACATCTGAGCAAGTGTCACCGATATCAGCAATATCTGAGCAAGTGTCACCAATATCAGCAACATATGGGGGGTGGGGTGGGGGGCAAGTTTTCTATCCGACAAATTCAACTTACCTGATTACTCAATGTTTTATATAGTAAATGAACAAATCTCCTCCTATTTTTATTCCTATGCCGTTAGTAGCTGTCATTACATACATCCAGTCTTTCCACAAGGTAGAACTCTATCATCGCTGGTAATAGACCATGTAGTGCAGTGCGTAATATACGATGACAGATTGGATTTGATAAATAAACAGGACAAAACACAAGAAATTCGGCATTTTCAGAATTGATTTGTACCCAAAGAATGAACCCAACACCCTAAGCTCTGGGTGACCCCGCTGAAACCTGCAATGTGAAAGACGTTCCTATAAATCTGCAATGTGAAACACATTCCTATAAACCTGCAATGTGAAACACGTTCCTATAAATCTGCAATGTGAAACACATTCCAATAAACCTGCAATGTGAAACACATTCCTATAAACCTGCAATGTGAAACACGTTCCTATAAACCTGCAATGTGAAACACATTCCTATAAACCTGCAATGTGAAACACGTTCCTATAAATCTGCAATGTAAAACACGTTCCTATAAATCTGCAATGTGAAACACATTCCTATAAACCTGCAATGTGAAACACGTTCCTATAAATCTGCAACGTGAAACACATTCCTATAAACCTGCAATGTGAAACACATTCCTATAAATCTGCAATGTGAAACACGTTCCTATAAACCTGCAATGTGAAACACATTCCTATAAACCTGCAATGTGAAACACATTTCTATAAATCTGCAATGTGAAACACATTCCTATAAACCTGCAATGTGAAACACATTCCCATAAACCTGCAATGTGAAACACATTCCTATAAACCTGCAATGTGAAACACATTCCTATAAACCTGCAATGTGAAACACGTTCCTATAAATCTGCAATGTAAAACACGTTCCTATAAATCTGCAATGTGAAACACGTTCCTATAAACCTGCAATGTGAAACACATTCCCATAAACCTGCAATGTGAAACACATTCCTATAAACCTGCAATGTGAAACAAGACCTAAATCTGTAATGATGGAATAAAATATGAAAAAAAATCTGGAAATACCCGGTATCTTATATTTCAAGTGATGACTTGATGAAACACAAAGAGAGGAAGAATGACTTCTTTCGAAGGGTCACTTTCCTGCCCCTGGGGGTCTGAATGTATCTTCATTACCGAAATGAGATTACAGAGTTTCTTTTCTTCCATATTTGTGATCTATTCATCCGTGAACCATGAATGTCTAAGTGTTGAGACAACAAGTGTTTTCTCACCTTGCGGCGGAGTTTCTCCAGGCGGCGCCGGACGATCCAACCTCTCACAGTCTTCTGGATGGTCAGAGCAAACTGGTTGAGTTCTTTCTGAGTGGGCCCAGTCTTCTTGGGGTGGTAAACTCTGGACACAGATCAATAGGACACTAAGAACCCAAATCTGGGAGCCAAACACACGATTGTCTGATTCTGGTGGAGTACATGATGCAAAAGAGAATTGCAGGGCCACATAACATTGTGTTAGTGTCTATGTTGGCAAAATGTACAAGGCAAACATAAAGTCAATTGTATAAATTGTTTATTTAATTGAAGTGACATCACTCTTCTACATATCGATATTGTGAAAATATCGCGCAATACCGCTTCTTGGTCAAAACAAGAAATCACCCTTTGTTTGGGTGAAAGATGCAATAATGCAAATTACAAATGATAAAGCATGTTACTGGCTCAACTTGTTATTAATCAATTCTATAAATGTATTAAGAGTCTAGTCTGTGCCGAACTCTGTTGGGTCTCCTAGCCTGAACTTGCTAAAATAAATATTGGCTATGTTTACTCTTAGAAACTTGACTAGATCTGGGCTCCAACTACAGAGTGCAAGCCTAACTAGCTCTGCCTGCGTAACAAGCTCTGCCTGCCTAACTAGCTCTATCTGCCTCACTAGCTCTATCTGCCTAATTAGCTCTGCCTGCCTAACTAGCTCTGCCTGCAAGATGTTCACGATCAGTGCATCTCCATCCACAGACTACAAGCCTAACTAGCTCTGCCTGCCTAACTAGCTCTGCCTGCCTAACTAGCTCTGCCTGCCTAACTAGCTCTGCCTGCCGAACTAGCTCTGCCTGCCTAACTAGCTATATCTGCCTAACTAGCTCTATCTGCCTAACTAACTCTGCCTGCCTAACTAGCTCTGCCTGCCTAACCAGCTCTATCTGCCTAACTAGCTCTATCTGCCTAACTAGCTCTATCTGCCTAAATAGCTCTGCCTGCCTCACTAGTTGTATCTGCCTAACTAGCTCTGCCTGCAAGATGTTCATCATTAGGGCATCTCCATCCATCTACGCCCTTCTTTCTGTGTTTATATTACTGTCAATGACCTGACTGAGGGTCATGTGACAAGATCATGTGACATGTTCATGTGACTCACTGGTAGATGTCCACATGGGGTCCGATGACGGAGATGGAGGAAGAGGACACGTGATGGTTATAAGCATTCCTGAAACAAAGCAGACAATACATCTACTGACGGTGCCAGACAAGCACCCTATACAAGCATCACATCTATCTAGGTCATCAGTAGCAAACATACAACACTTGACATCACATAAAGATTTCACAAAATAAGAAAGAATGTGTGTATTTCTCTCCGCGCTGTGACTGGGAGCTGATGTCGGCAGAGATTACTGTGCTGGGAGTAAGCTATTTGTATGCCAGCTCCAAGCTCACACTTGTTGACGAATCAATTTTGAAAAGAATGTAGTAAATAAAATAATAAAATAGATAACCTTAAATATTTCTCTTCAAAAAACATAATGTGCACACAATATGTCCGCATGTTAATTTTCTGAATAATGGATCAGTGAACACATTGCTATACCTCGACATGTCATCATTACAAGAACGCTTCAAACAGACATGTTTCCATAACTCAGGAAGTTCCTAATTCAAGGGATTGTTTTGCTTACTTTAGGCTTTAAGAAATAAAAGAATTGGTTCTCAGGCAATGTCTTTTGGGGGGGGGGGCTTGTTCAAACTACTATGTAACCAAATAAACAGCTGTGTACCATCAACCTGGGGAAGGGCCTCCCTACAAAAACAAGCATACAAACTCCGATTGCCACCATGACCATAACACGAGATGCACAGTAAAGCAGTGTGCATGTAAAGGGAAGTAACTGTGTACTATATTGGATCGCATTGTTTTTAAGTACTGTATTAGGATTTTTCATTTTTTTAAAAATAGAAATAAAAACGAAATGTTTTTTATGATGATGCGGGCAGTGCCTGAGAACCAAGACTTTTAATGTTTTTAGCCTTACAGAAGTAAGGAGTTGAACCCTGGTCATGGTCATGTCAAAGTTCATCCAGAGTCACATACTTTGGCAGTCAGATATGTTAACATTGCAACGTTGTAAGAAGCAGCCATGTAAAGTATCCATGGCTTACTGTTGTATTCAAAACTAGAAGGGAATTTAGCACTCATTATTTGGATGTTGGAAATCAAAACCTTTAAGTATCTATATTGTCATAAAAATAAATAATTAATAATAATAATAATAATAATAATAATAATAATAATCCATGGTACAACTCTGAATAAGTAGAGGGCATTATGGAAAATGATAAATACAAAATTCTTTGGAATATAGGCCCATTTACAGCCTCAGGCATATCCATGCAAACACACCGGATCTTGTCCTTTTTGATAAATCCAATGAAATCATTTATATCATTGAATTTTCTGTTCCTTTTGACAGTAATGTGATTGACAAGATTGAGGAAATACATGACAAATATGCAGACCTTGCTTTCGAAATGTCTCGTCACACTTGCATCCCAAGTACCAAGTTGTCCGACTCCCCATTGTTCTCGGTGCCTTAGGTTTGGTACCTCCCAATCTGTTGACTGACATTGGGAGAGTACCCGGGTTTGCTACCAGGAATACAGCTCTTCTGACAATTTGGGTAATGCAGAAGGCTGCAGTGTTGGGGAGTCTTCACATTCTCCGAAAATCTCTGGCTGGGTTTGACTAGGCAGCACTTCCTGGGAGAAGTCCCATTCACTTTCTGGGCTGCGTGTAGAGGGGGCAAGGGCCCTGAGTGATGATGATGTGCCTAACCAGCCTGAGTGTGCAATGATAATAATAATAATAATAATAATAATAATAATAATAATAATAATAATAATAATAATAATAGATAGTTGATTCGTAATGCGGCAGTTTCCCCAAGTGAATGCTAAAAGAGCACTACCATCATAACCAGTATGTTCAGGGTCCATCTTGTTCTCCACAACTCACTCTGACTAATTACAGATGTGATGTCCAAAATGTGGTTTATGATATGTCCAATATAAGAAGAGTTAGGGTTCCTCTACATAGTGTGAGCACATATGAACATATGAAAGCTGCCGCCCCCAAACATCAATATGAAAAGCCAAAACCTAAGCAAAACTATATATAAATGGGTCCTTGATGAGCACAGCGACATATTTGTTACACGCTGGGTCTACTGAGCAGCAAGCAGTGCAGCTATTATTATAACCAGACCCTTTATCATTTTGTACTGTTGACCAAGCTACCAATCTTCACACTAAACTCTTCCAAATTCAAGTTTAGTCCAAATGCATCCATTTCTCATGCTGAATCCCAAATCCAATTTAACATCCTCTGGGTGACATCAGGTTGAAGGTTGTGTAGACTGACCTAATGGTATATAAATGCTTTATAGGGCGACACTTTCAGCTGCCAAAACTAAGGAAGTATGCTGACAACACTCATTGACCATCTTGCCGAGGCAAGGGAGGTAACTCACTCTCTGGACACACTGTCCAGCTTGCTCTGTCGGACTCGCCCTTGCTGGTCTCGAATGGCCTTGTACTCCTTCTGCCAGGCCACGTCCTCGGGGTCACGACCTCGGCTGTAGATGGCCTGAGTCCGCTCAACATGCTCACGATGCATTCTGGGAAATGTACATCATTATTCTCCGATTATTTACCTGCCCTATTGTATCATAGCTAACATCTCATCCATATTCTTTTGGTACTGATACAGGGATTATTATCAACATAAGAGCAAATTGCAGAAATAACGTTTAAGGCGAACCCCATTTTCTTTAAAATCAGATATTCTACTCTGATACGATACCTGTCTGCATCAAGATCTGAAAACATCTCCATAGATGGTTACATCCTCAAGATTTTTATGCAGAGATGTATCGTTTTGGAGTAAAACATCTGTTTTTATATATTTTTTGGGTGAAATTAGGTGAACAACACAACTTTTCTTACGCCTTGGCTGAGTCGTCATTCTCAATGACATCATGAATACATTATATCAACCCAAGTCACAAAATCACTTTCAAAATTACCCCAACATGCATTCCCTCTCAGGTCCTAAATCCCTGTACTCACCTGCGACTGCTGAGTTTAGCCCGCTGCTCATCCTCCCTGCGGCGCCATTCCTCAGACAAGAGCTTCTTGTAGGCCCCCCGTGCCACATAGCCCCTGAATAGCCTGAAACATCACACCACAAGGTTCAGTACGCAGACTCCAACATTTAACTGGACCTCTAATGTTCAACTGTAGGATCCAATGTTCAACTGTAGGATCTAATGTTTAAATGTAGGATCTAATGTTCAACTGTAGGATCCAATGTTTAAATTTAGGATCTAATGTTCAACTGTAGGATCTAATGTTCAACTGTAGGATCTTATGTTTAAATGTAGGATCTAATGTTCAACTGTACGATCTAATGTTCAACTGTAGGATCTAATTTTCAACTGTAGGATCTAATGTTTAAATGTAGGGTCTAATGTTCAACTGTAGGATCTAATGTTCAACGGTAGGATCTAATGTTAGACTGTAGGATCTAATGTTTAAATGTAGGATCTTATGTTTAAATGTAGGATCTAATGTTTAAATGTAGGATCTAATGTTCAACTGTAGGATCCAATGTTCAACTGTAGGATCTAATGTTCAACTGTAGGATCTAATGTTGAAATGTAGGATCTAATGTTCAACTGTAGGATCCAATGTTTAAATGTAGGATCTAATGTTCAACTGTAGGATCTAATGTTTAAATGTAGGATCTAATGTTTAACTGTCGGATCTAATGTTCAACTGTAGGATCTTATGTTCAACAGTAGGATCTTATGTTCAACTGTAGGATCTAATGTTTAAATGTAGGATCTAATGTTTAACTGTCGGATCTAATGTTCAACTGTAGGATCTTATGTTCAACTGTAGGATCTTATGTTCAACTGTAGGATCTTATGTTCAACTGTAGGATCTAATGTTTAAATGTAGGATCTATTGTTCAACTGTAGGATCTAATGTTCAACTGTAGGATCTAATGTTTAAATGTAGGATCTAATGTTCAACTGTAGGATCTAATGTTCAACTGTAGGATCTAATGTTTAAATGTAGGATCTAATGTTTAAATGTAGGATCTAATGTTCGACTGTAGGATCTAATGTTCAACTGTAGGATCTAATGTTCAACTGTAGGATCGAATGTTCAACTGTAGGATCTAATGTCAACTGTAGGATCTATTATTTAAATGTAGGATCTAATGTTTAAATGTAGGATCTAATGTTTAACTGTAGGATCTAATGTTCAACTGTAGGATCTAATGTTCAACTGTAGGATCCAATGTTCAACTGTAGGATCTAATGTTCAACTGTAGGATCTAATGTTGAAATGTAGGATCTAATGTTCAACTGTAGGATCCAATGTTTAAATGTAGGATCTAATGTTCAACTGTAGGATCTAATGTTTAAATGTAGGATCTAATGTTTAACTGTCGGATCTAATGTTCAACTGTAGGATCTTATGTTCAACTGTAGGATCTTATGTTCAACTGTAGGATCTAATGTTTAAATGTAGGATCTATTGTTCAACTGTAGGATCTAATGTTCAACTGTAGGATCTAATGTTTAAATGTAGGATCTAAAGTTCGACTGTAGGATCTAATGTTCAACTGTAGGATCTAATGTTCAACTGTAGCATCTAATGTCAACTGTAGGATCTTATGTTCAACTGTAGGATCTAATGTTTAAATGTAGGATCTATTGTTCAACTGTAGGATCTAATGTTCAACTGTAGGATCTAATGTTTAAATGTAGGATCTAATGTTCAATTGTAGGATCTAATGGTCAACCGAAGGATCTAACATTCAACTGTAAGATGTAATGTTAGACTGTAGGATCTAACATTCAACTGTAAGATCTAATGTTAGACTGTAGGATCCAATATTAGACTGTAGGATCTAATGTTCAACTGTAGGATCAAATGTTTAATTACAGGATCTATGTTCAACTGAAGGATCTAATGTTCAACTGAAGGATCTAATGTTAGACTGTAGGATCTAATGTTCAACTGTAGGATATAATGTACTACTGTGGGATCTAATGTTTAAATGTAGGATCTAATGTACTACTGTGGAATCTAATGTTTAAATGTAGGATCTAATGTTCAACTGTAGGATCTAATGTTCAACTGTGGGATCTAATGTTAGACTGTAGGATCTAATGTTCAACTGTAGGATCTAATGTTCAACTGTGGGATCTAATGTTCAACTGTAGGATCTAATGTTTAAATGTAGGATCTAATGTTCAACTGTGGGATCTAATGTTAGATTGTAGGATCCAATGTTCAACTGTAGGATCTAATGTTCAACTGTAGGATCTAATGTTCGACTGAAGGATCTAATGTTCAACTGTAGGATCTAATGTTCAACTGTAGGATCTAATGTTAGACTGTAGGATCTAATGTTCAATTGTAGGATCTAACGTTTGACTGTAGGATCAAATGTTTGACTGTAGGATCTAATGTTCAACTGTGGGATCTAATGTCCAACTGTAGGATCTATTATTTGACTCTACGACATCCATACCGTTGTATATCCACAGCTGCCTTGGCCTCTTTCTGAACCTGAACAGCAGCAGCCAGCTCTATCTGCAAAACAAGGGAGAATTCATTACTCAACGTGATGCAACACAAAAACAAGGGAGAATTCAATACTCCACTTGACACAACATGAAAACAAGGGAGTATTCAGTACTCCACATAACACAACACGAAAACAAGGGAAAATTAAGTACTCCACATAACACAACACGAAAACAAGGGAGAATTCAATAATCCACATGACACAACACTAAAACAAGGGAGAATTCATTACTCCAAATGACACAACATGAAAACAAGGGAGTATTCAGTACTCCACATAACACAACACGAAAACAAGGGAAAATTCATTACTCCACATAACAACACAAAAACAAGGGAGAATTCAATAATCCACATGACACAACACTAAAACAAGGGAGAATTCATTACTCCAAATGACACAACATGAAAACAAGGGAGTATTCAATTATCCATATGACACAACACGAAAACAAGGGAAAATTCATTACTCCACATAGCACAACACTAAAACAAGAGACTTCAGTACTTCACATGACACAACACTAAAACAAGGGAGACTTCAGTACTTCGTATGATACAACATGAAAACAAGGGAGAATTCAGTACTCCAAAAAACACAACACAAAAACTAGGGAGAATTTAGTACTCCAAATAACACAACACGAAAATAAGGGAGAATTCAGTAATCCACTTGAAACAACACAAAAACAAGGGAGAATTCAGTAATCCACATGACACAACACAAAAACAAGGGAGAATTCAGTAATCCACTTAAAACAACACAAAAACAAGGGAGAATTCAATAATCCACTTGAAACAACACTAAAACAAGGAAGAATTCAGTAATCCACTTGAAACAACACGAAAACAAGGGAGAATTCAGTAATCCACATGACACAACACAAAAATAAGGGAGAATTCAGTAATCCACTTAAAACAACACAAAAACAAGGGAGAATTCAGTAATCCACTTGAAACAACACTAAAACAAGGGAGAATTCGGTAATCCAAATAACACAACACTAAAACAAGGGAGATTTCAGTAATCAGAATAACACAACACTAAAACAAGGGAGAATTCAGTACTCCATATGACAAAACACGAAAACAAGGGAGAATTAAGTAATCCACTTGAAACAACACTTAAACAAGGGAGAATTCAGTAATCCAAATAACACAACACTAAAACAAGGGAGAATTTAGTACTCAAAATAACACAACACGAAAACAAGGGAAAACAAGTATTTGTCACAAAGTGACGAAATGTCCCCCGCCAGTATATACACAATAGTACCAAATATGAAGACAATCCAGCGATTAGTTCTTGAGATATCGCGGCAACACTGTTTTCCAACTCCAAAAGCAGATTTGCCGGCTGTGACCTTGAAAATGGTGTCAAGGTCACCAAAACCGACTGGTGTCTGCGGTGTCTGTATATACACCATAGTTCTAAATATGAAGACAATCCTGTGATTAGTTCATGAGATATTGCGGCAACACCGTTTTCCGACTCCAAAAGCAGATTTGCCGGCTGTGACCTTGAAAATGGGGTCGAGGTCACCAAAACCAACTGATGTCTGCGGAGTCTGTATATACACCATAGTACCAAATATGAAGACAATCCAGCGATTAGTTCTTGAGATATCGCGGCAACACCGTTTTCCAACTCCAAAAGCAGATTTGCCGGCTGTGACCTTGAAAATGGGATCAAGGTCACCAAAACCGACTGGTGTCTGCAGTGTCTGTATATACACCATAGTTTCAAATATGAAGACAATCCTGCGATTAGTTCTTGAGATATCGCGGCAACACCGTTTTCCAACTCCAAAAGCAGATTTGCCTGCTGTGACCTTGAAAATGGGGTCAAGGTCACCAAAACCGACTGGTGTCTGCGGAGTCTGTATATACACAATATTTCCAAATATGAAGACAATCCAGTGTTTAGTTCTTGAGATATCGCGGCAACAAACTGGTGGGACGTACGGACGTACGGACGGACGGTCGTGAATACTATATCCCCCGCTTCGCGCTTTCGCGCAGCGGGGGACAATTTAGTACTCCAAATAACACAACACGAAAACAAGGGAGATTTTAGTAATCAGAATAACACAACACTAAATCAAGGGAGAATTCAGTACTCCACGTGACAAAACACGAAAACAAGGGAGAATTCAGTAATCCACTTGAAACAACACTAAAGCAAGGGAGAATTTAGTAATCCAAATAATACAATATGAAAACAAGGGAGAATTCAGTACTCCACATGAAACAACACGAACACCAGGGAGAATTCAGTACTCTACAAGAACAACACGAACACCAGGGAGAATTCAGTACTCCACATAAAGCAACTGTAGCAAGGTACCTTTATCATATTCTTCCTAGTTATATCATTATTCATACACCATCATCATAATCATCTTAATGGTCAATGTTTGTCTTGTCTACAGTTGAATATCAGTCAATAACTCTTTAAACAACTCAACACCCTTATTTTCAGTCTCTGGGAATCTCACACCAGATCTTCCCCTTCAACCCATGTACCCGTGAAGATGCAAGTTAGAATAGGTCTTCAGCAACCCATGTACCCGTGAAGATGCGAGTTAGAATAGGTCTTCAGCAACCCATGCTTGCCGTAAAATGCGACTATGCTTGTCATTAGAGGCGACTAATGAGATCGGGTGGTCAGGCTTGCTGACTTTGTTGATGCACTTCATCGTATTCCAATTGATTGGATGAATGCTCATGATGTCAATCACTGGATTGTCTGGTCTAGACTTGATTATTTACAAATCGCCTTCACATAGCTGGAATATTGCTGAGTGCGGCGTTAAACAACAAACAAACAAACAAGACTAGGCTTCCCCATACACTCACATACTTAGTGATTACAGGAATGTTGTTTAAAGCTGCAGTCAGCAACATTGCAGCTGATGATTACATCTAGACTAGACAGCCAGGGTTTGAAACAAGAGCAACAGTTTTGGAATCATGAGATCAGTCTTGTCACAGCCAACATGACCTGATCCACATGGGGTGGTAATAAACCATTCTCGGAGTACCCACCTAATGATTTGAGACTTGACTGCTATTCGGTGGAGATATTGCTCATGAAACTATTGTTCACATTCCGGTTCACTAAATAAAAGTTTCTAGATTCACATCACGTATGAAGGCAACTGAATAGACACTAGTTGTGACAACACACTCACTGGGTCGGGCACATGCTGGTAATGAGCGATTGGTCGGCCGATGTGGGCAAGGGATGGTTGCCTTGGTAACGGTGTAGATGGCCCCGAGTCTGTGGCTGCCGGCAGCTGTATCCCCCGTGGACCCTCCCCATCCCCAGTTGCCCCTCCATCTTCCTCCCCGATGGACGTGGACGTGACCTGCTTCTCGACATCTGACATCTCTCGGGACAAGCCAGCATATGACGCCTTCAGGATGGTGGGATACCCAGCTGTAACAAGATCAAACAAACATCAAGCGCAAGCACATCAATCATATCACAGTCCGTCAATAGTCCATATAGAGCCCTGTGTCATCCTAATAGTTCCTACACAGCCCTGTGTCATCTCCTTAGTTCCTATACAGCCCTGTGTCATCTCCTTAGTTTCTATACAGCCCTGTGTCATCTCCTTAGTTCCTATACAGCCCTGTGTCATCTCCTTAGTTTCTATACAGCCCTGTGTCATCTCAGGTCCTATACAGCCCTGTGTCATCTCATTAGTTTCTATACAGCCCTGTGTCATCTCCTTAGTTTCTATACAGCCCTGTGTCATCTCCTTAGTTCCTACATAGCCCTGTGTCATCTCATTAGTTCCTATACAACCCTGTGTCATCTCTTAAGTTCCTAAACAGCCCTGTCTCATCTCCTTAGTTCCTAAACAGCCCTGTGTCATCTCCTTAGTTCCTACATAGCCCTGTGTCATCTCATTGGTTCCTATACAGCCCTGTGTCATCTCCTTAGTTTCTATACAGCCCTGTGTCATCTCCTTAGTTCCCATACAACCCTGTGTCATCTCATTAGTTCCTACATAGCCCTGTGTCATCTCATTAGTTCCCATACAGCCCTGTGTCATCTTATTAGTTCCTATACAGCCCTTATGTCATCTCATTAGTTCCTATACAGCCCTGTGTCATCTCATTGGTTCCTATACAGCCCTGTGTCATTGCATTAGTTCCTATACAGCCCTGTCTCATCTCCTTAGTTCCTATACAGCCCTGTGTCATCTCTTTAGTTCCTATACAGCCCTGTGTCATCCCCTTAGTTTCTATACAGCTCTGTGTCATCCCCTTAGTTTCTATACAGCCCTGTGTCATCTCCTTAGTTCCTATACAGCCCTGTGTCATCTCATTAGTTTCTATACAGCCCTGTGTCATCTCATTAGTTTCTATACAGCCCTGTGTCATCTCATTAGTTCCTATACAGCCCTGTGTCATCTCATTAGTTCCTATACAGCCCTGTGTCATCTCATTAGTTTCTATACAGCCCCGTGTCATCTCATTAGTTCCTATACAGCCCTGTGTCATCTTATTCATTGCTATGCAGCCCTGTGTCATTGCATTAGTTCCTATACAGCCCTGTGTCATCTCATTAGTTCCCAGACAGCCCTGTGACATCTCCTTAGTTCCTATCCAGCCCTGCGTCATCTCCTTAGTTCCTATACAGCCCTGTGTCATCCCCTTAGTTTCTATACAGCTCTGTGTCATCCCCTTACTTTCTATACAGCCCTGTGTCATCTCCTTAGTTCCTACACAGCCCTGTGTCATCCCCTTAGTTTCTATACAGCTCTGTGTCATCTCCTTAGTTCCTATACAGCCTGTGTCATCCCCTTAGTTTCTATACAGCCCTGTGTCATCTCCTTAGTTTCTATACAGCCCTGTGTCATATCCTTAGTTCCTACACAGCCCTGTGTCATTGCATTAGTTCCTATACAGCCCTGTGTCATCTCCTTAGTTCCTACACAGCCCTGTGTCATTGTATTAGTTCCTATACAGCCCTGTGTCATCTCCTTAGTTCCTATACAGCCCTGTGTCATATCCTTAGTTCCTACACAGCCCTGTGTCATTGCATTAGTTCCTATACAGCCCTGTGTCATCTCATTAGTTCCCAGACAGCCCTGTGACATCTCCTTAGTTCCTATCCAGCCCTGCGTCATCTCCTTAGTTCCTATACAGCCCTGTGTCATCCCCTTAGTTTCTATACAGCTCTGTGTCATCCCCTTACTTTCTATACAGCCCTGTGTCATCTCCTTAGTTCCTACACAGCCCTGTGTCATCCCCTTAGTTTCTATACAGCTCTGTGTCATCTCCTTAGTTCCTATACAGCCTGTGTCATCCCCTTAGTTTCTATACAGCCCTGTGTCATCTCCTTAGTTTCTATACAGCCCTGTGTCATATCCTTAGTTCCTACACAGCCCTGTGTCATCTCCTTAGTTCCTATACAGCCCTGTGTCATCTCCTTAGTTCCTACACAGCCCTGTGTCATTGTATTAGTTCCTATACAGCCCTGTGTCATCTCCTTAGTTCCTATACAGCCCTGTGTCATATCCTTAGTTCCTACACAGCCCTGTGTCATTGCATTAGTTCCTATACAGCCCTGTGTCATCTCATTAGTTCCCAGACAGCCCTGTGACATCTCCTTAGTTCCTATCCAGCCCTGCGTCATCTCCTTAGTTCCTATACAGCCCTGTGTCATCCCCTTAGTTTCTATACAGCTCTGTGTCATCCCCTTACTTTCTATACAGCCCTGTGTCATCTCCTTAGTTCCTACACAGCCCTGTGTCATCCCCTTAGTTTCTATACAGCTCTGTGTCATCTCATTAGTTCCTATACAGCCCTGTGTCATCCCCTTAGTTTCTATACAGCCCTGTGTCATCTCCTTAGTTTCTATACAGCCCTGTGTCATATCCTTAGTTCCTACACAGCCCTGTGTCATTGCATTAGTTCCTATACAGCCCTGTGTCATCTCCTTAGTTCCTACACAGCCCTGTGTCATTGTATTAGTTCCTATACAGCCCTGTGTCATCTCCTTAGTTCCTATACAGCCCTGTGTCATATCCTTAGTTCCTACACAGCCCTGTGTCATTGCATTAGTTCCTATACAGCCCTGTGTCATCTCATTAGTTCCTATACAGCCCTGTGTCATCTCCTTAGTTCCTACACAGCCCTGTGTCATTGCATTAGTTCCTATACAGCCCTGTGTCATCTCCTTAGTTCCTATACAGCCCTGTGTCATCTCCTTAGTTCCTATACAGCCCTGTGTCATTGCATTAGTTCCTGTACAGCCCTGTGTCATCTCCTTAGTTACTATACAGCCCTGTGTCATTGCATTAGTTCCTATACAGCCCTGTGTCATCTCCTTAGTTCCTATACAGCCCTGTGTCATCTCCTTAGTTCCTATACAGCCCTGTGTCATCTCCTTAGTTCCTATACAGCCCTGTGTCATCTCCTTAGTTCCTATACAGCCCTGTGTCATCTCCTTAGTTCCTATACAGCCCTGTGTCATTGCATTAGTTCCTATACAGCCCTGTGTCATTGCATTAGTTCCCATACAGCCCTGTGTCATCTCCTTAGTTCCTATACAGCCCTGTGTCATCCCCTTAGTTTCTATACAGCCCTGTGTCATCCTCTTAGTTTCTATACAGCCCTGTGTCATCTCCTTAGTTCCTATACAGCCCTGTGTCATCTCATTAGTTTCTATACAGCCCTGTGTCATCTCATTAGTTTCTATACAGCCCTGTGTCATCTCATTAGTTCCTATACAGCCCTGTGTCATCTCATTAGTTCCTATACAGCCCTGTGTCATCTCATTAGTTCCTATACAGCCCTGTGTCATCTCATTAGTTCCTACATAGCCCTGTGTCATCTCCTTAGTTTCTATACAGCCCTGTGTCATCTCCTTAGTTCCTATACAGCCCTGTGTCATCACTACTTAGTTCCTACACAGCCCTGTGTCATCCCCTTAGTTTCTTAACAGCTCTGTGTCATCTCCTTAGTTCCTATACAGCCCTGTGTCATCCCCTTAGTTTCTATACAGCCCTGTGTCATCTCCTTAGTTTCTATACAGCCCTGTGTCATCTGCTTAGTTCCTATACAGCCCTGTGTCATCCCCTTAGTTTCTATACAGCCCTGTGTCATTGCATTAGTTCCTATACAGCCCTGTGTCATCTCCTTAGTTCCTATACAGCCCTGTGTCATTGCATTAGTTCCTATACAGCCCTGTGTCATTGCATTAGTTCCTATACGGCCCTGTGTCATCTCATTAGTTCCCATACAGCCCTGTGTCATCTCCTTAGTTCCTATACAGCCATGTGTCATCTTATTCATTGCTATGCAGCCCTGTGTCATCTCATTAGTTCCTATACAGCCCTGTGTCATCTCATTAGTTTCTATACAGCCCCGTGTCATCTCATTAGTTCCTATACAGCCCTGTGTCATCTTATTCATTGCTATGCAGCCCTGTGTCATTGCATTAGTTCCTATACAGCCCTGTGTCATCTCATTAGTTCCCAGACAGCCCTGTGACATCTCCTTAGTTCCTATACAGCCCTGCGTCATCTCCTTAGTTCCTATACAGCCCTGTGTCATCCCCTTAGTTTCTATACAGCTCTGTGTCATCCCCTTACTTTCTATACAGCCCTGTGTCATCTCCTTAGTTCCTACACAGCCCTGTGTCATCCCCTTAGTTTCTATACAGCTCTGTGTCATCTCCTTAGTTCCTATACCGCCTGTGTCATCCCCTTAGTTTCTATACAGCCCTGTGTCATCTCCTTAGTTTCTATACAGCCCTGTGTCATATCCTTAGTTCCTACACAGCCCTGTGTCATTGCATTAGTTCCTATACAGCCCTGTGTCATCTCCTTAGTTCCTACACAGCCCTGTGTCATTGTATTAGTTCCTATACAGCCCTGTGTCATCTCCTTAGTTCCTATACAGCCCTGTGTCATATCCTTAGTTCCTACACAGCCCTGTGTCATTGCATTAGTTCCTATACAGCCCTGTGTCATCTCATTAGTTCCTATACAGCCCTGTGTCATATCCTTAGTTCCTACACAGCCCTGTGTCATTGCATTAGTTCCTATACAGCCCTGTGTCATCTCCTTAGTTCCTATACAGCCCTGTGTCATCTCCTTAGTTCCTATACAGCCCTGTGTCATTGCATTAGTTCCTGTACAGCCCTGTGTCATCTCCTTAGTTACTATACAGCCCTGTGTCATTGCATTAGTTCCTATACAGCCCTGTGTCATCTCCTTAGTTCCTATACAGCCCTGTGTCATCTCCTTAGTTCCTATACAGCCCTGTGTCATCTCCTTAGTTCCTATACAGCCCTGTGTCATCTTCTTAGTTCCTATACAGCCCTGTGTCATCTCCTTAGTTCCTATACAGCCCTGTGTCATTGCATTAGTTCCTATACAGCCCTGTGTCATCTCCTTAGTTCCTATACAGCCCTGTGTC